TTAGGTTTCATTTGCTTGAAAAAAGGTTTCATTTGCTTGGAAAAATAGTTTCATTTGGTTGAAAAAAGGTTTCATTTGCTTGGAAAAATAGTTTCATTTGCTTGAAAAAAGGTTTCATTTGATTGAAAAAAGTTTCATTTGGTTGGAAAAGGTTTCATTTGCTTGGAAAAAGGTTTCATTTGATTGAAAAAAAAGTTTCATTTGGTTGAAAAAAGTTTCATTTGCTTGGAAAAAGGTTTCATTTGATTGAAAAAAAAGTTTCATTTGACTGAAAAATGCTATATATTCCACCATTGTCACTATTGCACTACAAAAACAATCACGCTTATAAATACATTCTCGCAAAACAGTAAACACAGAATACATCAATCCCCAAATTTTTTGTATGTACATGCCTACTCAAGAGGTCCAACCTTGTTGTTGCAGATGAGGTTATTTACATTTTTCAAAATCAATTAAAATGCCATGGGCTCAAGGATTTGAACCTAAAACCGTTAACGTGGCAAATATGAGTTGGACGCCCTAACTGCTCAGCCACTGCAGTCCCTTTGTTCAGTAATAAGATTAACTGCAATAAAAAAAATCTATGTACAAAAATACCCTTTTCATCCAAAAATCAAAACAGGCGTTTCAAAGATTGGCTGCCATATTCTAGCATAATTCTCATACCAGCGTTCTTACCCGCTCTTGATTTTTTTAGTTGTGTATAAGCTCTATATTCATATTGTCACTAGTCGAATGACAGGCAAACAATTCAAACCAGTAGATAGTTTGACAAGAACCTGTTAAGATTCTCATTAACATGAACCATCGCTTGTGCGATCAGTCACATTTCTCGGACAGCAGTATGTGACTCCTACAGGCGAAAATACCTGAATTACGGGCACAAGCAAGTTCCAGGCCTATAGCTTGATATTGGGTTTGGATTCATAGTGGTACATGGTGAGATTACTGGAGGGTAAATGAGAAAGTTTATTCTCTAGGCGGACCGATCTGTCGGAAGTACCTGTGCTAGGGGTACCTTTTTTTGCGGTCTTAAAAGATCCTTATGTCCTTTTCAGGACATCAAGTAAGAATGGAAATGTCACAATAAAACTACAATCCAGGTGCCATGACAGTAGCTTGACCAAGACTCCTAGACTAAAAATAGTATTGGGAATAATACAGATAAGATATTAGAGAGAGTTCTTCAAATTTAGGGAAAATAATGAAATTCTGCAGTATGGCTTCTCTCGCATAATGTGATTTTGATAATCTTTCAACCAAAAGTGCGGAGTATAGGTGTTACAGATGGCGTGTACTCAGCCTAAAATTGAGCAAAAAGCCTTTCCCATTCCTTGTGTCAAAAACCATGGAACTCTTTATACGAGTCAAGGAATGTCACCCCCTGGTTGTCGAATGAATACTGAGAATAAAATAAGGGCAGTTTAAAAATTATTATAAAGAGTAAAGCAGTAAAATAATAATAAAAATTAGAAGACGGCTTAGGAAATAAATATTGAGAAAAGCGGTCATTTTTTATTTATTCCTCCCCCCTTCAATTTTATTTTATATAGTTGACTATCTTATTGATTTTTATTTCTGTTTTTAGATCAAACCGGCACTTAGGCCAAAGCCAAAACTACATCGAAAACTTCAATATCAATCTACAATTACATCTCACACGACTAAAATTGATCATTCATATGCTCATATACTCTTATATAAGAATAAGTACAATCATAAGAAGGTTTTGTACATATTTGAGACATTAAGGAATATCCTTATTTGCAATCCACGCGCATTTATATGTACCACGGCCAGTACGGGTTTGGTTTCAAGGTTGGTTTCAAAATTATATATTTAAAAAAAAAAAAATTAATTGGTTTTTAACTTCACAGGTCTCCGATATTAAAATTACTAGCTAGACATAGAAAATCTCTATTTGGCAGAGGTTTTTCAGGGGATCTCGAAGGAAATAGCATTAAAAATGCTATGTACCTAGAAGTTGTCATACTGATATGTCTATATTTCCTAAGGAGTTACTATCCTAATTTAGAATCAATTGATATTACCAAAGAAGACATAATTGGGAATAAAGAGGTATATAAATTCAAACTGTATTAAAGAACACAATTATTAAATTGTTTTTTGTCTAGGTGCAAATGACTTGCACCGAAATTCTCACCCAACTAACGACTCAACTCATACTAATCATTCGCGAAGGGACAGACGGATTGTCTAAGTACATTGGAGAACTTTTTATCCGAACTAAATTTTATAAAATAGTATTGCATACAGCATACACGAGTCTGCAATGTACAAGTTACAACACATCGCAATTTAGCCAACAAATTTTGAATTTTAATGACAGCTACGATGCTACACAAGAAAGACTATCAAGGCATGCAGAAGCACTTCAGAAAAATCAAGTTAGGTTAGTACACTGTTTTATATAATAAAAAAATTATTATTTACTTTTTACTATTTTTCAGGCTTTTATTAGCTATAATAATTTTAGAATATGAAGTAGCACAACAAAGAGGAGAAAATCAGTCAAAGTCATCGGACAAGCAAGGAGATTTAAATGATTGTAAATACATAAACGGGAAATCGATACCACAACAGCCTCTTTTTCTTACAATTGTAATAACCCTAAATTTATTCTCATGCTTCAAATTATATATATATATATATATATATATATATATATATATATATATATATTTTTTTTTAATAATTGTAGATTACTCACGCTTTGGATATAACTACACATCGTCACACTCATGCTAACTGGATCGGCCTTTTAGCCTGCGCTCTCCCTTATTTGGGGCCAGCACTTACTAAAGTTGTCGCCACTTCGCTTAAGCAAATTTGTCACAATATCGAGGTTTTGTCGGAGAATTATGTCAAACCTGGAACTTCCAGGTAATAAGTCAATTACATAAAATTCGTATTTATATATTTACAGTTTCATTTTTTCCAGTTTTCCTCCAGACTACGGGTTAATACAGATTGAAGCTTTAACGGTTTTGTGTCATTTCTGTTTGCTCGATACGTCAAACAGTATCAAATACTATTCGACCTCTGTGACTCAACCGCCTACACAATATCCGAGTAACTTTATTTACTTTTTTGGCAACAGCTCTGCAAATTTAGTAAGTACAAAATGCTTCAAATTATAGTGTATTTTTTCTAAAACTAATTGTTCTTAAAGGAACCAAAGAAAGAGAAGAATGAAGCGCAAGTTGCAGCACGTAAAACAGTCCTTGGATTGCTTCCTCAAGTAATCGCAAGTGTGTCAGTTTTATGGCATGCTTTAATGAATATAAAAGAAAGGTAGCTTAAAATAGAAATGTTAACTGTTTTGTATTTTAATACTTGCCTTTTACTTTACTTTTAGAGATGAGGAAAACAGTGAAGTAGGAAGTCCGAGGGTTATCAAACAGCAAATAATAGAATTTTTAAGCCCCATAGCTGTCCATCATGCAACAAGTTTTCTAGCAGCAATGGCAATCGTGTGGAGAGAACAAAGGAAACCAACTGCATCACCAGTGGTCACAGTATGTCCATGCAAAGTTTTATTAGATGTAGATGTAAATTCAAAGATAGATTGGCCAAAGATAGTCTGTACTTATAGCACACTGGTAAGTCCCAGTTCATCAAGAATTTTGATTTTAGATCAAGTTTTAATTGTATTTCTTCTACGTCACAGAGAATTTTCGCCTTTAGATTAGCATTTGGGGTCTCTCTCTACCTCCTCGTAAAATCTGCACGATGTTGGTTGATGCCAACCTTTCTCAAGTGCTCATTAATGCATTCTGATGTCTCTTATTTCAGTCTTGCTAAGAGGTTTTTGGTTTGTTGTGACCAGTGGATCGGAAGTCGGTTGTGTTCTTACATTCACCATGACTTCATTCCTAAGATGCTAAAAAAACACAACCATTCCTTGCAATCCTCTTCTTCATTACTCCTGCATGTCCTAGGATGTAGTAATTTTGTTTTGTCACCTAACCTGTTTGTTTTCCTGAATATTTGGTTTTAGGGGCAAAAACTGCTCGTGTATCTTCTTGCATCCTAAATTCATCACCAATAATTATCTTCCTCGATTCAGGGCTTTCTTTTTTTCCCCATTCATTTCTGGTATAGCGAAACCTCTCTATAGCGGCCACCTCTCTTGACCGACAATTTTTTCATTCCTCAGCAAACAAAATAGGATTTGTATATATTTAAACCCTATGTAACAGAACATCTCTAGACCAATCACAGACTCTGCCAACAGTCCACATCCAAGTAATTCACCCTTCTAGAACAGATAAACAGCAAAAATATATATATATTAAAAGTTCATATAAAAAAAATATTTATTAAAAAGAATTTAAATGCCAACAATGTTTTGAGGGTAGACCCTTTTGTTTAAATTTTGTGACTAGGAAGTTAGAAAATTCTGCATATTTTTCTTTGCTCTTTTCTAAGTTCCATACTTCTTCACATATCCTTTTCTGTGTCGAATTGAACATGTCTTGGTAATCCATTTTGAGAATTACATAAATAAATTTTCTAAAGTTTCTCTTTTGGTGAGGAATAAATTCTTTAGGGATTTTGAAGACTTTTTTGTTTTTTCACTTTTTTTTTCTTTCTGGAAGCTGTTTCGTCTTTATACGTTTTGTTTTCCTTAAAAGCTTCTCTTTTGCGGAATAAACAAAAATTCTTGCCCCTCTAACCACGTGGTTGACCAGGATTGGTGGAACTTAGGATTGCCTGGTCAAACAGGCACATCTTGGCTACTGTTTTTTTTTTTTTTTTTTCATTTTTCATTGTATCAATTAGATATGCATAAAATTAAATTAAATAAGTCCAATTCAAATATCCTGTCCACATTGTCCCTAGGAGCCATAAGTATCGGATAATCTCGCATTAGTACATTCTTGTACTTTTGTTTTAAGTTTTCCGTTTACAGATTCTTCTTTTCTTAGTGTAGTTTTCTTTGCTGTCCTCATTAGTCCTAATAATATTTTTTGCCGTACCAGCTGTGAACATGTTCTCATCGTTCCAGTGATACAAATACATATGAGCCTTTGTATTTTTGTGAGTTTTCTTTGTTTTGTTGTTTATATTAATTTATCAACCCAGTGGATCACACCTTGAGAATCGGTCTCACCGGTAATCTGTAATCATATTTATACTTAATTGGCTTATTTTTATATTATTATTTTATTAAATTTTACTTTCTTCTGTATTATTTATCTACAATGATTATTTACTTATTTTGTAACAGGCAACATCAAATATTAGTGAAGACCAGCATGTTTTAGTGCAGTTGTTGATAGGCATTAAAGCAATGCCTATTGACATTATCACCCAGACCCTCCATCAAGTCGTTAGACAACCTGCTATGAACCAGGTAAAACTGAAAGTATTACCCCTTTTTTCATAAACTGATGTCAAAAATTCTAGGAAATTGCTGTAAGCGTTGAAGTAAGCGCGCTCGAACTGTTCGTAAATTATGCGCAATATATCACTGTGGCCAGCTTGTTCGAGAGCTGGAGTTCTTTGCTTCAGCTGCTCAGAGAGGCGCCGGCGTTGAGCCCTCCTGCCCAGTTTCTACTCCTCGGCGCGTTGAGCCAGTTCATTCAAAGATGCCCCGCTTTCACGGATAAAAAAGATCAAAAAGACCTGCAAGACATTACTATAAAAGTATAAATTTAATTGATTTTTTTTAAGACTGTAATTTAAAAAAAAAATTTTTAGCTTGTTGAATCGTGCAACACTATTGCTGGTGCTTGCTTGTTGAATACTAACTGGTTTATAAGGAAAAACCTAACAGTTCGTGAAGAAGAACCAGTCATAACCCCAGACAAAGAGGATAAATGTAAGTAACCAATTTTTCATAAGCATGATCTTTTTTTTATTTGAAATCATCCTGACAAATGGACTGTTTTGTTTAATTTTATTTCCTATTAGATTATTCACTATTTTCAGTTTGACGATAGAATTTTTATATATAAATATCTTAGCTAACGCATGCTTACATAATTTATATATGCGCATGAATTGTTACAATTTTTTTCTTGATATTAATCTAAACACATTTCAGCTTTTCTTTCCACGTTCTTAATAATACAAGTCAATAAATAGAGTTGCTATAGGGCTAAATTACAGAAATGAAATTTCACCTCCTGTAGTCAACAAGTATGTCTCACTTTTTCTCTAAAATATAGCTGTACTTTAAGCTAACAAGGGGAGTCTACAGACATGGGATCTTGGATTTTGATGAACATTGTTTTGGTGGTACCAAGTTTAAAAATATTAGACTCATGTCCAAGCATTTCTTGCTAATGAGCCCAAAAGGCTGAGAGAAAAAAATTGTTCACATAATTTCAATAACTTAACACAGTTTAATATGAATATATTTTAAAATTATTATTATCTGTCGATTTATGTTTTTACGAAGGATTAGAAAAATAATGATGATGGCTATACCTTTTGTAAACTGACTTCTTCAGCGAAGTTACTACTGTATGTGGCAGATTTTCGGTCGACCGAATTTGAACTGGAGCATCTTGGCAAAACGGTGGTTGTTGTTTGGGTTCCTGATCAGGTCTGGACTTAGGCAACTAAAGCTGGGATGTCTCAACCTCCAGATTTAACCATGACGATCTCACCCTCTGATGTTAAATGCAATAAAAAACATAAAAGAAAGTGGCACTGTTGTTGGGCCAGATCGGCAGAGATGCTCTAGCATATCAAGAGCACTGTCAATTGGTGGCCCTCGGAGGAACTGACTCAGAAGAATGGACACTTTTGGGGGAAAAAACTGCAGGTATGTGTCAAATAAACAATGATGACTCCAAAATTAAAAGGTTTTTGGACAAATCCATTGGTACCATTGAAAACTATGTTAAATTTTTAATAAGATGTTTTTAATACTAAATTCACTATTTTTCATGGTCCGTTTGACAAATTAATAAAATTCAATTAATTAAGGTTTTAAGTTGACATAAAAAAATCAGTGTCACGGGCGGGATTCGAACCCACGACCTTCGGCTTGATACGCCGCTACTCAACCACTTGAGCTATCGTGAAGTGGCATATCAAGCTGAAGGTCGTGGGTTCGAATCCCACTCATGACACTGACTTTTTTATCTCAACTTAAAACCTTAATTAATTGAATATTAATACTAAACTTGTAAACGTTGGTGAAATAAGAATTTTCGTAGCCAGAACTTAAACAAAAAAATTTCAAAGTTGAAAAACTTACTATGGTGATTCTAAAGTATTATTTCCAAACCTTGCTACCAGCAAATTTCAGAAAACGAACTCCATTTAATATCCTTTTTAGTGGAGTAATTGCTTTTTTAATTAATTTTTTCAAAGATGAAGCAATTGATGAAGGAAAGGAGAAAACCGTGGTTGGCAGATTGGTAAGGTTCAAAGATTAATAATAATAAAAAATTTAAAAACTTAAGGAAATATTGAATGAATTTATTAAACTTTTTTAATTTGGATTTGAAACCGAAAAAGTGCAAGTGTTTACTTATTTACCAACGACTGCATCTTTGATTAAAGGATTATTGTATAATTATTCCCCGGAATAAAAGAGTTTTAAGAATTAAAAATATTTTTAGTTATCAATGTGATAACTTGTTAGCATTATGCTGTAATTTTAAAGCCACGGATCCTGTCCGCTGCAGAAAAACTTAAAATAAACTTTCAACTTACAGTGGCTAATATTAGAAAACGGCTTTGTTTGTGTATTGCGGAGGGTGGAGCATTTTGAATCAAAATTTAAAAAAAGTTTAATAAATTCATTCAAAATTTCCTTAAGCTTTTTATTTTTATTATTATTAATCTTTCCACCTTACCAATCCGTCAACCACAGTTTTTTCCATAACTTCATCAATTTCTTCATCTTTGATGGAAGTAATTAAAAAGCAAATACACCACTAAAAAGGATATTAAATGGGGTATGTTTTCTGAAATTTGCTGGTCGCTAGATTTGGAAATAGTAGTATAGAATCACCATAGTAAGTTTATCAACTTTGACAAAAACTATTTTTTAAAGTTCTGGCTACTAAAACGCTCATTTCACTAACATTTACAGGTTTAGTATTGATCACCTCTTATTGGAAATTTAACATAGTTTTCAGTGTTATCAACAGATTAGTGCAAAACCTTTTAGTTTTGGAGTTATCATTGTTTATTTGAAGCAAGATCGTGAAATCTTAAAAAATCAGAAAGAGGGGAATAATTAGGAAAATGTTTAGATTCGGACTATAGTTAATTAGGATGTTTTGGTTCTATTTTGAATGTAGAATCTACTGGCAAAGTTTGTAACACGAGTAGTCAAACACACTGTATAATAGGTCTGGTGCCTGACCCAGTATAATGACCTAACTGATACCCCTTGAACAATATCATTTGCTAAAAGGATAAGACACAAGGTCTGACCCCGGATTGCCAACACCCAAGGTGGCCTCAAGGCCCACTGGTAATTTATTGTATTATTGTAAATAACACAAAAGCTGGTGAGCATCGAGAAGCGGTCGGCTCAACTCTGTACATGTTATATTGTTATGTGGTATGTCGCCTGTTGAGCATTGGAGCTTATATTAATAAATAAAAATTCTTCAGTAATGACGTACAATCCATTGTGAACTTTAGAGGGGTTAGAACCCTAGATAGAGACTGCATGCGATCACATAAATGTCGCCGAAGAAAAAAATAAAAAGTTAGAGGGGTTTATTTCATCCTTATTTTTATCATTTATATGGCATAATACCTGAAGGTTGTCGATATAAGCTCAAGGAAGAAAAATACAGCTTTCCTGTGAACTTTAGGTAAAATCCAGAAGTGTTATGAATTTTTAAGTGGTATACAGCACACCATGGAAAAAATAATGGCTCTGAGCTGATCCATCCCAAAAAAGAAAAATTTTTATTTGCCATAAAAATTCATATTTAAAGGCTTTAAAAGGTGCTAAAAACAAATCTTATTTTATTTTTATTTTTGAATTTTTGGCCTATTGCCTTTACTGAAAGTGTCTACATTTTAGCATGAAGTATATCTAACATCATTTAATATGATCCTGCATATTATTTTGTTATCCTATGTTTAAAAACCTTACAATCGTCTGATATATAAAACCTAGAAATGAACAACAAAAGCTTATTTTATTTTTAAAAAATTCCTTAAATTGTTATTTAAAAAAAACTTGGATTTTTGGAGACCCATTGGCAAGGGTGCTCGGACATATGACTTAATGTTTTCTGGCCTAGTAAAAAAATAGGTTCCTTGAAATTAGCACTCTTACCTCTCATAGCCAGAAATATTATTTTCTACTTATGATATGCAATTATTAAATAAAAATCCAGTAAATTTTTATTTTTTATTGTCTGCAGGTAAGTTAAAACAAATTCAGTTTTATTTTTTACAATTCCACTATTTTAATTTTTAAACTACTAATAAAATTATTTTATTGTTATTTTAAAATTGTGTAATATTTGGCTCTTAGTTTTTTTTCTTTCTTTTTTGTATGGTTTGGCATTTTTCACTTCAGCTTTGTGATGACTAGTTCAACTACACAAGCTAAAAGGCCATATCAAGCAAAATATACACTTGGTCAGATACTTCTGCAATTTTTTAAAGAGATTCATAAAACATTACGGGGAGGTCTGTGGAATGATGAACCGATAGTACGATCACCCCTGATCATCCTGGTGAGCACAGGCTTGGGTTTGTCACTGCATTTCGCCATTTTCAGATATCAGCCTGTGCGGTTATTTAAGCCTTTTAAGCATAGCGTCAACTGACAAAGGCTGGGATTAATCAGCAACGATCAAGCTAATTTTACAGTATTTTCACAATGCTATTAGTCATAGCATTATTTAGAAATAGAGATAGAGAGCTGTTTTCCTACCTTCAGACTCGTATTTTTTCAATTCCCTTGAAAAGTTTTTGTATTACACACTTAGTATGCACTGTTTTTAATTTATGCCCAATCATTTTCATTAACAGAAAAGATTATATACCACAACATAAAATAAATGTTGTGCACCATTTTAGTGCTGTTCAAACTGGGTGAAATTGTATGTGAAGTTGATATTTATTTTTGTTTATAAGTTGAAAAACACTGATTTTACACATACTTATCTAGTCTTAAAAAAAGCAAGGATCAGAATATCGCGTCATAAACGAAATAATTTCAAAATAATTAACCATGATTTATAGTCATATTCATCTATAGATGTTGATGATGCGGAACTTACCGAATATGATTGTGTTACTTTGGACGAGCTAACCGATGGGAAGCCGAAGAAAAAATCCAAACTGAAAAGAGTCACGCAAAAAATCCGCCAGGATGCTGAAAAGCTCCAAATCAGTGCTATGAACCAGTGGTTCATGAAAACATTTGTCAATGAAACCCCTTTAGACTTCTCGGAAAAGAAAAGTAAGTAATAATAGAGTAACAAAAATAAAAGAACTGACAAAAAGAGTCCGAGGGATTAAAAAATGGTTATCACTTTACCTTTCAAAATGCTTTCACCTATTACAAACATTTCTACACTAATCATCTATCAACGTTTTCTCCTAATTTTTCAAAAAATTCTACATTTTATCGTGTTAAAATTTAGTTCATTATTGCAGGAAGGAATCTACTTTTTGTAATATTTTTTTTTTTTTTTTTTTTTTTGCTTGAATGTATTAGCACGTAGTATGAGCGCATGATTTGTGTTAAGTATGATTTCAGGAATGAAATCCCTGCATGCTTTAATTTTAAGTTAAAAAATGGGAAAAAAATTATGGGCAGTTTCATCATTATATTCTATTTTGCATCTGTCATAAAAATGAAAGAGCACATGAATCAATCTCACATGTACTACTTAAAAAAATTTTTAAAAACATAAATTCTATGGTAATTTATGATCAATTGCTGTACTAAGTATAACAACTCAAAGACTTGTCAAATGTCCTACAAAACTTTTAAATAATTATGTATACTCTCGAACGAAAATGTAATTATTTTCGTTTCAGACTAGAAATTATTTCAGTTCAATTTGTCATTAAAATTTAGTCCAGCAAAATTTAAAATTAAAAAGCAAATTTTTTAAAGAACAAATATTTTATAATGGCACAATTGTTAATTTTAAAATTGCTGACACCTTTCACATGCCCACTGATTGCAATTAAACTTATTTAAAAATATAAATTATTAATAATTAAGTAGGCAATTCTTTTTGTGCCTTTTCAACCCTAATTTATTAAAAATCTGTTTTTCATACAACTTTGTTTTTTAAATATTTTTAACATATTAATTTTTGTTCAGTCTTATAACACGGTAAACATTTTTTTACTCTTCTAGGTGGAAGTAACAGCGTGGCCCAATACAGCATCGGTGCTTTGACAATATTATCGCAATTACTTGGGCCGCTTTTAGATGTTGCTTTTGGCAGCCAAGAAAAAGATAGAGTTGTCAGTCTCTTGACTACATTAATGTATAATGTAACGCCATACTTAAAAAACCATACGTATGTATTTTATTTTTCAGATTTGTTTTACACGTTAAAAACAACAGGTTTTATTTATTTATTTTTTCATAAATCACTTAGGCAAAGAAATGCAAGCAGTTATTACGCATGCTCGGAGCTACTTTCAAGTATAACATCATACCAGTATACGAGAAAGGCTTGGAAAAAAGAAGTTACCGATCTTCTCTTTGATTCGTCATTTTTTCAAATGGAAATAAGATCTTTAAAATGTTGGTGCACAATAATTGACAATTTGATGTCACAGGAAGAGTCAACATTTAGAGAATTTATGAGTAATATATTTCTGTTGTATGTTTTGAGTTCTTGGATTGAAACGAAAATTTTCAGGCCGGGTGTCCGTCCCGCAGTCCAATTCGTTGAACATTTTCTCGAGTAAGGAACAAGAATTTGAACAGAGGGCTCAATTGCTGAAAAGACTCGCCTTTGTCCTTTATTGCGGAGAGAATGATCAATTTCATAATAACATGTCAGACATTCAAGGTTAGTAAAATCATCGAGGACTTACTTTCGCTTAAAATTAATATTTTTAAAATATTTTAGAAAGATTAGCCGATTGCGTAAAAACACCTCAGCTTGCTCCGAACCTGCATGCTCAAGTATTTCTGTGCTTCAGAGTCCTCCTTCTGCGAATGTCCCCTTCGGTAATCATGCCGCTCTGGCCTATAATCATCAGTGAAATCCTCCAAGTGATGATTATCCTTGAACAACATTTATCCACAGACTATGAAGAGTTTAGGTAACTCAGCTTTTACTCTCCATTACTTTTAAAAAAATCTAGATTTTATAAATAACAAATTATCCTAATCCGCTCATTATTTTTTACGATTTCATTAATCCGCAACAGACGGAATTGCAGGTGAGTCTTTTTACTTACTGTGTTTAAATTTATTATTAAACTATTTATTTTATTTTAATGCTTTTGCATATTCAGCATATATTGTTAAGACTCACAGACAAAAACTTGTGGTTACTTAGTTAAGACATTTTTCTTTCTACGAGACAAAACTCAGCAGCACCTTCTTAATGGTGTGTGACACATTGATCAGAATTAGAGATTTCAAAGAGGTTTTTTTCATTGGAGTTGTGGTGAAAAAGTACCAAAGGTGACGGTGAAATCAAAACCACAACCGTGGGTTCCATGACAAACCACTCAACCACCACAGACCTCTATTTTGGTTGAGTTGAAAAAGTTAGTGTCATGAGCGGGATTCAAGGCTTGATACGCCGCTGCTCTACCACTTGAGCTATCGTGACTTCATTCTACAAGGTTGTGGGCTTGAATTCCGCTCGTGACACTAACTTTTTCAACTCAACCAAAACCTTAGATAAAAAGAATAATTAATTGAAATTATTATATAAAGTTAAACAAAAGAATATACTTATCACATTTTATATGAGCCAGAATTTAAATATTTTGTAACATTAGACTACGATTAAGAAAATATGATCAAAAACTTATCAATCTGTACAAGTTCGAATCAAATTCATTCAAGCCCACGACCTTCAGCTCAATACACCACTTCTCTAACCTCTTGAGCTATCATAACTTCAATCCACCAAGGTCGTGGGCTTGAATTCCGCTCGTGACACTAACTTTTTCAACTCAACCAAGACCTTAGATAAAAAGAATAATTAATTGAAATTATTATATAAAGTTAAACAAAATAATATACTTATCACATTTTTTATGAGCCAGAATTTAAATATTTTGTAACGTTAGACTACAATTAAAAAATATGATCAAAAGCTTATCAATCTGTACAAGTTCGAATCAAATTCATTCAAGCCCACGACCTTGTGGATCAAAGTCACAATAGCTCAAATGGTTAGAGAAGTGGCGCATTGAGCCGAAGGTCGTGGGTTTGAATCCTGCTCGCGTCATTAACTTTTTTATCTCAACCAAAACCTTCGATAAAAATAATAATTAATTGAAATAATTAATACGGCCAATTATGACTGCTAAACTTTTATGGATTTCTATAATAATCGCAAGAGGGGCTCAGTGGCCACAACAGTTGGCGATAGACATTGGCACAGCGCTCATCATTGTAACGTAAAGGTTCCGGATTCAAATCCAAATTTTTTCCCCTCCAAAAAACCAACATCCTGAGTGAGGGTTGATATGTCAGACACTCACCCTCATAACAAAAAAAAATAATAATTACAAGAAGTTTCCCCAGTGGGTGGAATTTTTTTGCCTGAGTTTTAATTTTTATTCAACAGTAAATCATTGAGTTAATTTTTGTTTAAATAATATATTTGTTTATCAGTTCAAGCGTAAGAGCTCTTTCCTCGATGGAATTGAACTGGATGGCGAATGGAGCACAACTAACTGGAAGCTGGCTTCAGTTGCATCTTGCTGTTGTCAATTTGCTTTTCTTAGCGGAACAGCTCCCAGCTGACAGATTAACTCAATTCCAGATGTAAGTTTAAAAAAAAATTATATTAGAGTATCATTATGCATTATGTTCTTTAACATGTTAGGTATCGTAACAGTAGTTTCTACAGTTTTTTTCTTTGGACAATAAAAATAACGTTTTGGAACAAAAATAAATAAAGATATGGGGAGGTTTTTGAGATTGTGATCATCTCTGATTATCCTGCCTCTGGCTTGTTTTATTCGCCACACATGTTGCCGTTTTGCATAAGTTGGTCTGTCACCTCGTATCTGGAATCATTCAAACATTTTGTCACAGCAGTCCTGAACCCAGAATAACAGCTTTGTCTTACTCGTCAAAAATTTTACTTGCCTCGTGTCTACTAGGTGAATTGTGTTTCCTCTTGCGCTACTGCAGTTTCATCGTATAAATGAAGACAACAAAAACAAAATCCAAAAATTATTGTGAATGATGTAAAACTAAAACTGGCAAACAAGAGGTGAAAAATCAGAAAGACAACAGGGTGAATTAGAGATGGTATAAGGCTGGGGAGAGAGGTATCTCTCGAAAGTATGGCGTTCCCAATGAAACATAGAAATTGTGGCAGAATTGTTTTCTAGGAAAAATTGTATCACAATTTTGCAAAAGTTTGAGAGGCAAGATTATGAACAAAAGGGGGAGAAAAGAGCGGTTCACTGATGATGAGGATGGGAAGTCTTCATTCACTACTGAGCAGCACTACCCTAGCTATACATGAGGTATGATTTCAGCTAGGTATCCTAAAAGGCAAAAAACTGCAAAAGCACTCATCCTGTAAATATTAAAGGGAGGGTAACGCAAGAGAAAAATAACTAAAATCACACTTCAACCCTCTACGGCTCTTTTTAAACAGTACAGGACCATATCAATTGTCCAGCGGTGTCTCGGGTTCACCACAGCCACCGGGTTTTCTGACCAAATCATTGATCAGCCTGTCTTATTTGGTTGAAGAGAGGGTAACACAGTTGGTTAGGCCAGAGTTTTAAACGTGCAGAGTGAGCAATCATCCTTTCAACATCTTCAGAACCACCAAAATGTTCCGTCTAAACCTGGCATCTCTCATGAGCCATATAAAGAAAAAAATCTTCATGTTCAATTTTATATTTTTAAAATTATGACCCCTCAGTAATGCATGTTAGAATATATTTTTTGCCAATTCTTTACCTTAGAAATTTTTTATAGGTATAGATGGGCTTTTATTGGTGAAGAAAGTGGAACGAATTCAAATTCAAATGAAAACCCTGATTTCGTGCCTCACATATCGAGGATTGCAAATTTAATGGATCTCAAGGTAATAATTGATTATTAAATTGCATTTTATTTTTGCAGTTTAAAAAAACTAATATGTATCTTCTTTTAGTACGGGATGTTAGAGGCAGTACCGACCCCTCTGATACCGACATGCAGCCAGATAAAAACTCTTCAGGACCTGCATCCCTTTTTTACCGCTATGAGAAATGGAAAATACACGCCGTTGACAGTCTCGCAATTGGAGCACAATTTAGAACTCGATTTCCTAGATGTAATGGCACCTCGGTAAGGAAGCCGTTAACTTCAGTGAACATACATTATTGTAATATATATACACAATTTTTATATATATATTCTTATTGTGAGGTCTGATATTTGGGACTCACGTTTCCTTTTTTTTCTTATTTTTTTTTTCTCTTGTGGAATAGTGTATAAAATGTTTCTTTACATTGGGAGAGCTTAAATTTTGAGTCCACAAATCTTCAAAATTGTATTATAGAAATTGTAAATATTTTACAAAAAAAATCACCCTTTTACCTCTACTTTTTGGTGAAGTTTTTGTATATATTTGTTTTATTGAAGTCATGAAATTTTCATTCCAGTCATGTTTCTTAACAGTTGAGCATTGTTTGTACATTAATTTATTACAGTATATCAAAGAGTGAACCTTTTAGCCTAAATTCTACGGCTGATAGTGCCTTATGTACATTTTATATATATAAATATTTAGATTGATATTTTTTTATTGTGATGTGAAACAATTGTAAACTTTCTGGGTGAACACGGAAACAAATACCATTTCCAAAGCCTCTTTTAAATATAATTAATTATATTATTTATCAAAAAAACCTCGTCTGTTGTTTTAGTTTTGCATTAAATTAAAATTATAATTGTACAATAATGAAAAATACCATTGAAAAGTTTGGAATTTGAAATGGTATTTTATTGCTGGAAATGAGAAAGTAATTATATTATATTTCATGATAAAAATCAAATTGCATAGTGCAGAATTCCAAATTTCATTCCAAACCAATTGTCCTTTTAAAACAAATCGACTGGTTTTTGTATAAGAAAAAATTTGAATTTTTTCCTTTTCATATTTTATGCTTGAAATTGTAATTTCAAATATTCAAACGACTTGTCTTTGCAACAGGATATATATCTATAAGACAATGATGAAAAAATACTGTTTTATAAAGCAATTTTTATTTATTTTTTTTTTTTTTTTTTTTTTTTTAAATAATTTCTGACCAACTCATTTTTAATAAACCTTTCACTGTTTTTATAAAAACTTTTACAAGGCGACTCGAGTTCCAAAAGAATTTTTACACGTTTGTAAAACTGTTAAATTGCAAATAGCGCATTGTATCACATGCCCATCGCTGTTTTTGAATATATAAATCGCTAAAAGAGAAACACGGTTTGAAATCTAGGTAAATATAAAATTGAAGTAGTCTAGTTAAAATTTGTCTTCCAATTTTCTTCCGTTTTTTGTTCTATTTCATTTAGACAGTTATGGTTTGACGCCAAGTTTTCTCTTTGAACTATATTGTTTAAAGTAAAATATGTTTTATGTGCATTATTGTTATTTATTAGCTAAGGATTTATTTTATTTTAAAATGTAATTAATTGCTGCAAATTAATTGTGATAATACAAGTATAAATTATTCAGAGTTGTATAGTTGAGAAAAACATGTGACTTTCAGCAATTATATTTCCTTAAAGTGCAATTATAATAAATGTAATTAAAATAATAAAACTCTTGTTTAATTTTAATTATAAAAACATTTTTCCCTTAAAAAAATCCCTAATATTTAAATGCATTTTAAAAAAAAGGTGAAAGGTGAAAACAATTTGAAAATCAATTGTTACTTCACTTTATTGCAAATATTTTCTTTTGAATACCAGAATACTGACATTTGAAAGGAAGATTTTTTTTATATTTGACCTCTTTTCTGTTACAATCTGAGACTGCTGACATTTATGTACAATTCCCTTTGAAAGTATGAAAAAATATTCAAAAATTTGTGTATTACGCTTGAAAAAATAAAGGAATATGAAATTTTAAAAAAAAAATCTAATTGAACCTAGAATTGATTTATAATAATACTATAATAAGAGAAACAACATGTACAAAAATATAAACATAAACTAAAGTATTAAACATTTTTTCCCTAATTCTTGCATTTTATTATAAATGGTCATACTCAACAACAAATGTAACTATTTTTTTTAAAGATTTTTTAAAATTAATAAATACCACTTGAAACTTATCATATTCGTTCACTAATCTAACATATAAATTTGAACAAAACAAAAAAGGGAATATGTATAACCATTTGTACAGAAAATTTTGGTTTATATATTTTTTAAAAAGAAATTTTTTTCATAAGGATCTCCTGAGGAAATAATGATCAGCCCACTCTTCCATATCATATCTATAAAGAAAAATGTATAAATTAATGTTAGTTTTATGAAAATGTTAAAACTGCTTACATTGTCTACGGCATTATCTTCTTCATCGCTAAGCTCATAACCAAACTCAATATCTTCATCGTAGCCTTCTTCCAAAAAGGTGACTGTATCATTGATTCGGACTGAAATTTAAAAAACAAATTAATGTAGGGTCAATTAACTTGTTCTATAGTATAATAATAAATAGGTTTGTTCCAACACAATCAAAAACTAATTGCCAACTAATCCATGATTTATTGACTGCGCCGATTATCGACTGATCACACCGGTTTTTCCAATCTTGGACTACACTCAAATGGTGCCTTTGTGATTTGTAAGATTGTTGCTTCTAACCTTTTTGATTATCCAGAGAACCGATTATTTGGTGCCTCTCGAAATTCCGACTGACTACCTCTGTCCAGATTTTCATTTACAGGGCGAACAATATCAGTCCTTTTTGTAATTAAAAGATTTTTTGTGTGACTGAAATTTTTCTGTTATATTTCTTTTTAAAATGAATATGTACAAAAAAAGCCTAAATTAAAAAGAAATTATTCAATTATTAGTAGAGTGAGCCTCAGATATTCATTCTATTTATTTTAATATTACAAGAGAAAATGAATCACATATAATAGGGTTTTTAGTGAAATATTTGAGAATTTTTTTGCATGTAAATCTGTGCTCTTGGTATGAGTAAGAAATTTTCGATTTTACGAGGCGAAAGCACAGGAAAATGTGTGCGCATGTCTCTGATTAGTGCCAAATCTGTTTTAGCAGGGAAAAACTAGTTACAAACTTAGCCAGAAACCATGTAGGAATGAATTTGTAACGTGTTGGTACAAACCAGATATGAAAAAACTCAACTTTCATAAAATTTAGTATACTATAATCAAATGAAAAATTAAGATAATTAAACACCAATTGGAAGAATTATTTTTAAAAAATACGCAATAAATTTTTTTTTTAAATCCATTACCAGTTTCTGGAAATTCTCCGTATGTTTTCAAATTACGAGCTTCATCGGGTGTATATTTTTGGATAACGTCAGCTTTGGCATTCTGATAATCTCTTAATCCAATTAAAATAATGTCGCCTTGATTGATCCAAACCTAAAAGAAAGCACAATTTTAAATTAATATCAAACCGGTTCTCGAATGGTTGTCGTTGAAAAAATAGAAAATAATCATGCTGCGATACCTTCTAAGTTAAAATTAATTATAATTCAATCTACAATGAAAAAATTGTATAATGTAATACTCTTACTTTAACCAAGCAGGCCTAGGTTGGTAGGTTGTTTTTGTTTTTTGTTTTTAATTTATATTAGACACACACAAACATACATATAAAAACAATACATACGGACAGTGCGTATGTATGATGAAAACAAGGGGTTTTTGAGAAAAATGGTATGTAAACTGTACCTCAAAAACATTTTTTTAAGAAATCAATAAATTAAATTAATATTTTTTAACATACTAAACATTGACAAATAATGAAAACAACATAAATTAAAACAAAGATCAGTTTTCTGAAAACACATTTCAACACAAATTAATTTAATACAGAAATTTGAAAAATACAATTATTTATTTGTTGTTTAACACCCTCAATGCCTCTAATTTAGAACTACTGGCTTCGTACTCGTCAGCCAACCATAAAACCTCAGGCAGTATTTCCAGGCTTCAATTTGTTGTTCCTCAAGCTTCTGCTTAACATTTCATGTAAGTTCGTCTTTTATTTGCACCTGTCGCACTCGACAGATCAAAGTACGTGGCCTGCAGCACAGGAAGTGCATTTTCAAAATTTGCCTTTCTCATCTTCTACAATTAGCAACTGTTTAATCTCTTTACAATTTGTGGGGAAAAAAATAAAAGAAAGATCTATTTAACATCCATGTTATTATTTACTTCCAAGATTTTTTTATATAAATATTATTCATATTTCATTTAGTTATGTCATGGAATTTAAACAAGAATAATTGTAATTGAATTGATATGTAAACCATATTTGAGAGATCAAAACATGGTAACCTGTGCCTAAAGGCCCACATGCAATTTTTTGCTGTCCAGTTCCACTGCCGGTCAACACTGAAATACTTCAAATTCCATCGTCTACCATTGTGATCTATTTGCTCATATACAAAGATTACATTTACAAATAAAATAGACATTACTAGGTACATCCATACAGAGATGAGTCTTTCGAGAGGGAGCTATTATACTTTTATGGATTTACAGGAAAATCCAATGCAAGCAGTTCTGACGGCAACGAAAACACCAGAATTGAAATTAGGAGAATACAAATATGACATTCAAGATGATGCCAAACAAGAAAGTGTCGCTATTTTGTTGTGGCGCCACTGTGGCCTAGAAGGAAATGCTAGGAAAAAATGTCCATAAATCCATCGGACAAGCAAGTGTGCAATAATCAATCTGATGCTCTATAATGCACAAAAATGCATGTGTTTATCGGGCCTTAGGATTAAAAATATTCAGAAGATAAACCATCTTACTGGTGGTACTTATATAAGTTTTCTTTGTGGGTTTGAAAACTTTTTCTTTGGGAGAAAACTTACAAAGAAAACCATTACAAAATAAACTTAACGAATAAAAACATTTCTTCTCGCAATAAAGTTGAAAAAATTGTTACAGACAAAAGCTATTTCATTTTTTAATACGAAGAAAACCAATAAAGGGATGTTTTAAACAAGAAATGTCGTGTTAAACAAGTTAAAAAATTTATTATCAACAGTCAAAAAGTAATTATTAAAATTTGTGTGAATCATTTGTGTAAAAAAACAATTTAAAATCTGTATACTTACTTTCTTTCTCAATTTCCCTCTGATGTGACACAACCGCTTGGCTCCGTCGAAGCACATTGCTTCAAGTCTTCCATTACCAAGCATTTTGGTCACTTGAGCGTATTCTGGGGGGGGGGGAAAACAAGCAAATTTCAATTTCTTTCAAAATAGCAAAAAACGGGGGAGTTGGTCAAGTGGATTGAAATCACGATAGCTCTAGTGGTTAGAGCAGCGGCGTATTGAGCCGAAGGTCATGAGTTCGAAACCCGCTCGTAACATTAACTTTTTCATCTCAACCAAGACCTTTTATAAAAAGAATAATTAATTGAAATTGTTCAATACCTTGTCCATCTTCTTTGAAAACCAGTTCTCTCTTTTCGGTCTCATTTTCATTCTTTCCTCTCCTCCTGTTTTTACCTCCCTTTCCTACACAAAAACGCAAAATAACATAAAGATACATGTATGATTTTGAACACTATACATTAAAACAAAAATAAATAAATAAATGAATGTAGTGTTATAGAAAAAAAAATAAGTTTAATATTTCATTTTGGTTTTGATTGACCAGGTTTCTTCTCGTATTTTAGTACACCCTTTACATTTATTTTAAATTATTACAGTAAATAATAATTAAGCACAGCTTCATAAAGCTCAAAAAATAATAAGAAATACAAAATCCACTTATGGGTACTAGCATCTCTCACCAATTTGATTATTACATTTAAATTTCAGTTCATTTGCTTATTTAAGTAGTTTTAAAATTAAAAAAATCTCAGATTATATGTATTAGAATAATCAATTTTGAAGAACATCAAAACATCTATTTATAAACAGCGAATTGCGTTTCTAGGTTCACAGACCCCCGAGGTCATCACTCCAATGTTTTTATTTATTAGTCTCGTAACAGAAAATAATATAATAGTGTAATATTTTTGAACAAAGTCCAGGTTTTTAATTAAAACTTCATGGATTATTTCAGTTTTATAAAATTTTCAGGGCAAAAAATTAGCTATGTTCAATATTTTTGAGATTACTTCTTGGAGCCTGTGGGATAATGTAGTGTTGGACATTTTAGTCGACCTATCATTGAAGTTTTGGTCTCGTCCTAGTTTTGTAACCCACTAACAATAGTGAATAGCGTCTGACAAATCAAAAACATTTTTGAAGGTTTGCAATAACAGAGGTTGTAACAACCCCCAGAGTGCTGGGTTTAGAAAAAAAATGTTTGAATTCTTCAATCAATCTCCTAACAGTGATGGGTCACCCTGTCAACATCTTAACAATTGCGGCCACCTTGCCCTACTCAATGTTACAAGCATTATTGGAAAATATTGTGGCCAGGTTGTTCAACAATCCCAGAACAATCAAAAGAACAAAACTGACTAGGGTTTTTCAACAATCAGCACTCAATGTCTGAGCCATAATGACCCATCTATTGGGTCATCTGGAAAATAATGCACGTTTATGGTTATTTAATAAAAACAATTAAATAAATGATTTTAAACATTTTTTATGAATTAAAATACCTCCTCCATCAATCTCAATACACTTCTCCCAATATGATGGCAACTTCTTTATACTCTCTGAATCAGTCTTTATTATTAGCAAAGTCTAGAAACGCATTTTCTAACAACTTTTGACCAATAAATTTTTTTGTGTTGTACAAAGTTGTACAGGTGTCTGAAAAAATTGTAGTTGGTAGGCAAGAGGTCTGGAGAATAGGGAGGTTGAACCAGAAGAACCAAGTAAGATCTAACAGTTTTTGTGTCCTGCTGTTTCTCCTTTGTCAAGCCACTGTCCAGTGTTACCATCAAGAATCCACTTTTCATCATAAGTAACAATTCTATCCAGAAAAGGCTCGTTTCTGTTTTGGCAAATAGTGTTGCACAAACTTCATAACGATCCTCTTTTTGGCAGTCGTTTAATGCATGAAGAACCCAATTGGGATTTTCTTCAACCAACACTCACAGAACATCATCAGCTAGGAAAGAAATCCTTCCACGACCTTTGTCTTTAAGGCTAAAATCTCCCTTTCGAAATTTTTTAAACCACCTCTGATCGGTGGTCACTTATACTGCCATCTCCCTAGACTTCATTAATGATTCTGGCCTTTTAAGCACTGTTCTGACCAAGTTTAAACACGCGTTGACATCTTAGCAAAGACAGAATTATTCCCAAGTAACGAACAACTATTGAGATAAACATTTCTGTTTGGAAGAGGATTGAAAAGTGTGACATTCGTGCAAAAGAATAATCCAACAAACAAACAGTTTATATATAGAGGGGTAATTAAAAGAAAAAATGAAAACCTGCATTATTTTCCAACCTAACAGTATAATGTTTCCAACCTAACCGAACTTCCAGAAAAAATCCTTCTATCAGAGTCGTCTCTGTGGTCAGTCAACGTTCGGGGAACACACAGTCGTAGATCATGGATTAGTCAGCAATTGTTTTGTGATTGTGTGATGGGACAAACCTTATGATTCTCTTCTCGTGCCTCACGCCTGGGTTTACACCAGTTTTGGACGCAGTAAGGATCCATATTTGCATGTTTCTGAAAATGCTAGACCAAGTAGGGTTCAAAGCTTAAAGAATTAAAGAATTCATATCGGCTCATTTTTGGCCATGTCCACTTTATCATTGTCCTGATGAATGTCCAGGGTCGGTTCATCAGTCCATCACTTCACTTCTACCTGGGATTCAATAAAATTCCATTTTTTAGCCTTTGCCTCGCAGTTAAGGCCAAGAGCCACCTTTCAGAGAACTAAGGCCGGCACCACACTAGGCGGAATACGACAAAAGTTTTCATGACAGAAATTTTGCGATGAAAAATCCGCCCAACCTGAACAAGCCACATATACAGCGGAAATGAACGGAATGACTACGACTGTTTGAGGCAGTTGATAACATGACTTAGTTGATCGTGTACGGTACAATGAAACCACTTTTCATTTTGTGTATTTACAAGGCAATAAAGAAGCAGAAGAGAAAGAGAGAACATTGGATTCATCCATTGAATACGAAAAGAGTAGCACTTGGTCAATTCCAATACTATTGGATGACTATAGCTTCATTTTACGAGCTTTTTAAAATTCCAGACAGGGCCTGTTCTGCACTTCTACAATAAATTGGTCCAAGTCTCTTCCGTTCTACGCTTGTCCGTCGTCAGTATGGCGCACTCCATCTACTTAGCACTGTTTTGATCAGTTTAGACAGAACCCAGTGCAACATTCTGTCGACAGACATTACGACGGATATTTCCGTTACAGAATTTCTGTTCAGTCTGTCGATGGCTGTGTATTGAATGTAATCTTGTGCAGCGGAAATTTCCGTCGCCGGCCTAAGGCAAACACTCCATCCTCGCTAGAGGAAACGAAGTATATTATTTGTTACTCTTGCATGATTTTATCCCTTTTAAAATGCAAAACACTAGAAATGCTATAAAGTGAAAATAAAATTGTAAAAAAATGGTTTAATTTGATCAAATGTTTAACCTTTCACCATACTCCATGTTATGAATTAAATACTCAAATCTGTTTTAAAGAAACAATAATCGTTCAAGTTTTAGGCTATTTTTTTGTTCTTTTGATTGCTAGTTGTGTGTATAAATGGAATATGATTAATAATTAATTATTACGTTGTGGCTGTCTAAATTTGACCAGTCCGATACTTCCTTTGGCCTTATGATGCGCATAATGATTAGAATATTTATAAATATGTACAAAAATAAAGCATGGAAAAAGAAGAGCAGACTTTTAACCATATGGCAAAAAATACAAAAATTATAGTAATGGTGGTTTTTCTTTTGGGAAAAAAAACTCAAGCTGTGCGGATAACGCATTTTGACGCAACTTCCAATGTTTGTAAAAAAATGAGAAAAACTTGGGGAAAAAAGTTTTTGTCTGAATAAAGGGCTGACGGGCTAAACGGGAAAAACTAATGGCACAATCGGGTCGAAAAGGGTTGGGGGTTGTTTTTTTTAAGAAATCCACCTTTTCCCCTAGGCTAAGAACAGTCGAATACTCACCTTTATTTTTCGGCATATTTTAATTTCCTTAAATCGAAGTTTTTCGAAATTGTAAGCGAGTTGAAAATGTCTAGTTTAACTGATATTACTCCACAATTGAAAATACATTCCGAACTCCAGGGTTAAAGGAAGTTGTGGGTCGACTCGTCCGGGCTTTGTGAGTCTCGGATCAAAATGACCAACGTCCTGGTCAAAAGATTGTTCCGGCCGAAACTGGAAATTTAACCTTGCATATTTATTTGTTTATAAATGTTTGTTGAATTTATTGTTTTTTGTTAAAAACAAGTGTATAATAAGAAGATTGCCTGCCAAATACGAATGCATAAGGCACTGGAATTGATGAGTAACATTTTATAACTCAAGCGCAAAAATACAAATGACTATCATTTCCATTTGGATGCTTGACAATGCGACATTCTAGTCGCACAACCATTTATCAATGCCCTGAAATTAAATAAATTTAAAAATTTTCCCTCGCCTGATTTCTGGTTTAAAATAAATAAATACACACATAAATAAATAAATACCCTATGCATTTTTAATTTCGTAGAGTAATAATAGTCAAATAATTTCAGCCAGGAGTCATTTTATAAACCACCCAGAAGCGGAATTTTTTTTTTTTCATATAAAAAAGGTGTAAAATTTTGTCAGAACTTAGGTATTTTACCAAAAAACAATGATCCATTATTCTTAAACGCTTCTACCTTCAAATACACACTATACCAAGAATTATATTTATAAAAAAAAGATTGGTTATAATAGACAAAATATTTGAAAAATGGTAATTTTTGAACTCTCTTTAAAGAACCCAAAGGCAGAGTGATAAAATACTGAAAACATTTCACACTTTAAGGCTTAAACAGAATTACAGACTCTTCTGAAGAAGAAATGCATAAGAAATCAAAATCTTGTAGAAAAGTGATTGAACAAAAAATAGGAAAAATACCATTTGTTTGTCCGAACAACGTTCACTACCCCGTTAAGTAGTTTACTACCCTCCAACTATATACAATAATAATATTTTTATTTTAATATTGCTTTTATATTTTGAATTATATAAAATGAAAAGTATGTCAATTAGCTGGTTGGTATTTTCGTTTGTTCTGGCTTTTATCTTATATTTTTCTTTTGTAAGGGGTGAAAAAAAATTTAAGTCATGAAGGGGTGTATTCTCTGTGAACCAGGGGGGTTACATTTTTTTTCATTGCAAGCTTACATAGTTCTCAAATTAGACTAACATTTTTAATGACCGTTAGCCAATGATTATTAGGAGATCGTGAGATGCGGTCTGGTGTGTATATAGGTTTAGAAAAACATTTTCTTTATCGTGTCAATGTTTTGACCTTTATTCAGATCATCTTCAGGGCCTGGGATTGATAAACCAGGTTTAAATTTTACAAATACATGTAGGATGTGAAAAAAATGAATTTATACAATGCTAGAAAATTTTAGATTAAAAAAATTAATTTATACAATGCTAAAAAAAATTAGGTAAAAAAATTGAATTTATACAATGCTACAAAATTTATTAGATTAAAAAAAATGAATTTATACAATGCTAGAAAATTTTAGATTAAAAAAAAATGAATTTATACAATGCTAGAAAATTTTAGATTAAAAAAGAAATTAATGTTTACAATGCTAGAAAAGTTTAGATTCAACCAAAGTATTTGTACTCACTCAAAGGTATTTAAAACATTGTTTGAATTTTTAAATAAAAATAAACCGAAGTCTTAATTACCTTAATAATATTGAATTAATCAATTAATTAACACAAAATCTGTCTAATTATTAATTTATTAATGATTCATTGTTACTTATGTAGTAGTATTTATATATTTATATTGTAATTTGTTAATTATTTATTTACCAATTGATTATTTATTACCACTGCAAATACTGATTTATTTATAGACTATTTATATTGTTGTTTGTTAATATTGGTACATTTGTATAGATTATTTATTAACTAATTATTTACCAATTAATTAAGTAAGAGGTGAGGAGCCTGGGTGGATGTGGACTTTTCCAGGGGCCTCTGTTGCCATGTACGGTTTTTAACTTTTTATCCACATCCTCCTAATGCTGCCAAAATTAAGTGTGTATCCAAATGAGAAGCGGGGTCCCTTTGGGGTGACCTGTTAAAAAAAAAAATCATGAGATGCAGTCCGGTGTGATGTACATTTCAGAAAAACATTTTCTTTATCGTGCCAACGTTTGGATCTTTATTGAGATCATCTTCAGGACCTGGGATTTACAAACATTGTTTACATTTAACAAATACATTTTGGATGTGGAAAAGTAAATTTATACAATGCAAAAAAACAGTTTTTTTATATATTCAATCAAAGTATTTCTACTCACTCAAAGTGTTTGTTTTCTGCGTACTTTGATTGAATATAAAAAATATATTTTTTTGCATTGTATAAATTCACTTTTTTCCACATCCTACATGTATTTCTTAAATTTAAACAATGTTTGTAAATCCCAGGCCCTGAAAATGATCTCAATAAAGATCGAAACGTTGGCACAACAAAGAAAATGTTTTTCTGATACCTACATCACACTAGACCGCATCTCACGATTTCTGAATAAAAAGACTAACGGTCACTAATCACCACACATTTATTATATATATTGTATAATTCTTAGTTGTTGGGATTATATAGACAAGGTGCTTAATTAAATCTTTATGTTGTTTTATTTATTTTTCATCAGTGCTTTATTCCATATTAATGTTGAGTGAGTTATAAGCATTATATTGTATACATTTTTTCTCCTTACTTTTGTATATGATTTTTTTTATAATTTGTAAAGTAAAAAAAATTTAAAAAAAGCATGCTCTTTATTCTTTCAACCAATGGTCGAGAAATAACGGCATTCTTTTAAACCCTAGCCAATCCTGGTCCTTATTAATTTCCAATAAAGCCATTATTATTTATTTGTTCATTACATGCATGCTGAAGATTCTAACTTTATATGTGCAGGCAGCACATCCTGAATATTCGTTCATATATATGGTTGAAAGTTCAAAAACAATAAAAAAACAAAATCAACTATTTTAAACAACAAAATGGGCAAGAAGATGTTTTGAAATAAAGTTAAATAAAACAGTTAAATTACAAAAATGGCATATTTTCAAATTCAGTAGATTCTTTCAACATGAAATACCTAATCGCATAGATTGTGACATAAAGTTGTATACACCGTACAAACATTTACGTGAAGATCCATTTAGCTGGCTCACAAGGCTCAAAGGCCCTGCGTTATTTTTCTGACTGACTTTTTCCACTAAATATTGAGGACTAGCATTAGCAACACATGGAATACATTCCATCATTTAAAAATTAACGATGATGGAACTTGGTTACCTCTAGACATTGCAGTGGAGGAAGTGATTGTCAGCGTAATTTTTTTTATAGTAAGAGCAAATGATTGTAACAAATGAAACACAAATCTAGATACAAATATTTCTTTTATTTAACAACTAAAAAATAAATATACAGGCATATGTATCTCATAAATAAATAAAAATATTAAAAAATATATAAAATGTAAAATATTGAAATATATTATTTTCTTAACTGGAATTTGTTAGAGTTTCACTCATTAAGTTCTAATAAATTTTTGTTTTGTAATTATATTGACAGAATAAAAAAAATATAAAACTCAACATTTTTAAACACAATACATTTATAAAACAGTAATTATATAGGTCGAAAACAATTTAAATGAACATGATATGCTAGATACTGATGAGATAAAAGATTTTTAGCCGTTAGGCGTAAATATGGATTTTTTGCTAACAGGGCATCAATCAAACCCTGGAGTTGAAATGAATACTTGCCAGTAGTGAGCGATGGTGGTGTGACAAGTATTGCTCTCAGAAGACCAGCGATTGTTGGCGAATTGAACGGAAGTTCTAGCGTCGCAAGCAGGAACAAAAGACATCCCACAGCCCACATATCAGTTTCACGTGAATGTTTCTTCCCACGGCAAAGCTCAGGCGCAAAATAGCTCAGGTGGCCGCTAGAAATACCAGAAGATCCTCCATCCTGTTTTGAAATGCCGAAGTCACTCAGTTTAACTTGGAAGCGTTTTTTCAATAAGACATTCTCAGCGCAAATATCACGATGTACGATGTTCTGCTCGTGAATATAATTGACTGCGAGAATGATCTGAGTGAAAATACGTAGCATGAGATCTTCCTCCAATTTTTCGGGCCTGGTGTTGATAAAATTTTTCAAGTTCCCGTCTTCGGCATATTCCATGGCGATCGTCAAAATATCATCTTTTATCTTGTGATGACGGTACTTGACTATGTTCGGGTGTTTGAGCGATGAGAGCAAAGAGGCCTCTTTGAGCTTTTTACTGATTTCTTTTTCGCTGTATCCTGCTAGCACTATTTCCTTGAAGACGAGTTTCTCACCTTTTGGATTTACAGCTAGGAAAACTGCGCCAAAAGTCCCTTGCCCAATTAATTCGTGCTTTTTGTATGATTCCATGTCCATAACTTATTACAATTATCCCGTCCTTTATTTGATAACACAAAGAGTATTATCCTCATAAAGAAAACATTATAATCCTTTATTTACACACAAAAAATCTAAAGTATCATATTTTAAAGAAAACAAACTAATTTTATAACATTTTCAATACATAAAATTAAAAATACAGCTATTCTGTATAATTTCCATTGAAAATTTGAACACGTAAAATGATACCATTTTACAAATTGTCAACATCACATAAACCAGAAAATAAATTTTTATTTTGAGTTATGCATTTTTGCAGTTTGCTTTTCTTCAATAGTCAGGTTTTTGGTTTCAATTAGTTACAAAGCTAAAATATGTATGAATTATGTTATTTTGGGTTACATTAACAATTTACCATTTTTAAACAATTTACAATTCTAATGTTTTATAACTTGTGAATGTAATTTGTAACATATTAATGAAAAAACTGTATTGCATTTCATATTTAAACAATTATTTTTGATCGGATGATTTTTTCTTGAGGTCTGCAGTCGTTTCTGATCATTTTTATTGTCAAAAATCAAAATGATCAGAAATGGCATATATTCACTGATATTGAATGTGATTCTGGTTTGATGGTAGTGCTTTTTTTCCCCGAGTTTATTAATTTAATAAATTTAATTTCCTTCAACTAATTCCAGATCAGCTTAAGCTAGAAGAATACACTTCCAAAGGCGAGATTACGGAAGAAGGCCTAAGAAGAATTAAAATATCTATAAAAAAGGGAAAAAGAAAGGCAACAAAAATGAAAAGTTCATATAATATAGATTGTAATGTTCAATTGATTGTAAATAAAAGGGGTGTTTGTGGTGTGTTAAGGTGTTACACTGTAAGGTAAAAGGTTTTGGGTTCGAATGCAAAGCAGCTGGAAAAAAGCCAGATGCACTCACTTTTTTAACACTGAACAATAAAGTTAAGTTAAAGTTTAAAAAAGTTGTAAATAAACAGATCCTAAGGCTGAAATTACATAAAAAGAAAGCTTTGCGACAGCTTTAATTTGTACCCTCTGTTGCGCCATATAGTGAAGTATTCATTATCATATTTAGTGATCTTGATATATCTTCAATCTTATTTCTGTGAACTTTAATACCTTAAGGAAATCATTTATCATTAGACTACTTAAAAAAGGTGATATTATCCACCCTTGAAACTTTTATTTGGGGTTTTTACCTTAGCTTTTCTGATGTTTTGAATTCCAGCTATTTATTGATTAGATGTGAGATTAAGAAATCATGATATAGTGATTTTTAAGTTTTCCGTATTATTTTTGTGAGGTTCAATCTCAACCTTCAATCTGTTGATTTTGGACTGTAATGTTCCAAAATGAGATCGGTAGAAGCAGCAGCCATCAATTTTTTGAACCAAAATTTTCTTAAATACTTGTAATTGTAAATCAGGTCTACTTTTATAGGATTACAGACCAAATCCACCAGTGAAAATGGCAAAATGTCTAATTTAAGATCCAATGAAATCTCTATTTAAATACTGCTATGTTTTGATGTTAGCATATTAGCCTCCAAATGAACCAAACTTTTAGAATAAAAATGAAGCGACACAAGAAAACTATAAATGGCAAAAGATAATATTATAAATATTAGATAAATAAATGAATTATTATATTGAAATGGGAATATACTTTAATCTATTGGTTCATTTCAAGGAATAAAACAAAGTTTCAGCCATTTATAGCCATTTACACTGTTGGTTTTATACTGCAATCTTACAAAAAGAGATTCATAGTAACAAGTACCAATTTTTTAAAATCCAAAATTTTCTCAAGAGCTTGTAATTTCAAGTAGTCTCCTTTTATAAGATTACAGCTCAAAACCATCACTGAAGATGACAAAATCTCTTTTTAAGTAGTGTTAAGTTTCAATGTTAGCTCATTAGCCTCAAAATGAGCCAAACTTTTAGAATAAAAATGAAGTGATACAAGAAAACAATAAACAACAAAATATAATATTATAAATGTTACATAAATAATTTTGGCATTAAAACTTACATATAAATTTAAGATATTCGTTCATTTCAAGCATCAAAACATAAAGTTTCAGCGTTTCGCCATTTTCACTGCTGGTTTTAGGCTGCAATCTTATAAAAGGAGTTTGGGAATGGCATCAGCTCTCAATTTTTTAGAACCAAAATTTTCTTAGTAGCTTGTAATTTCAAGTCGTTTCCTTTTATAAGATTCCAGCTCAAAACCATCACTGAAGATGGCAAAATATAAATTTTAAGACCCAACAAAATCTCTATACTGCCGTGTTTCAGAATTAGCATATTAGCCTCAAAATGAGCCAAACTTTTAGAATAATAATGAAGCGACACAAGAAAACTATAAATTGCAAGAGATAATATTATAAATGTCATTTCAAGTATTAAAACATAACCCTTCAGGATTTTGCCATCTTCACTGTTGGTTATGGGCTGCAATCTTATTAAAGGAGATTGGGAATGACATCAGCTCTCAAGTTTTTAGAACAAAAATTTTCTTAAGTGCTTGTAATTTCAAGTCATCCCGTTTTATATGATGACAGCTCAAAACCATCACTGAAGACAGCAAAACGTCAAATTTAAGACTCAAGAAAATCTCTTTTTAGGTACTACTATGTTTCAGTGTTTGCCTATTAGCCTCAAAATGAACCAATCAGCCATACTTCTAGAATTAAAATGAAGTGATACAAGAAAACTATAAACAGGAAAATATAATATTATAAATGTTAGATAAATCAATGAATATTATATTGAAAATGACATATAATTGGTTCATTTTAAGTATTAGTCTTCAATGAAGAACAGTGTTCATTCATCATGAGACGGCACAAAAAGTTTAGTTTTTCTTAGCTTTCCTGGTGCTTTGAGTTTCAATTATGACCTTTTTCGCACGTAATCTGCATTGCATTTGATTTTTTTGAATCTGCAATACTTTTTGGAATAATCCATTATATTTCGTGGTCCGATTGACTAAATACTTCTTTTTCTTGAAATTTTGAAAGATAGGTTTAGATGGGAAATTGGTGTCCGAGTGGATCGAAGTCATGATAGTTCAAGTGGTAGAGTAGCGGCGTATTGAGCCGAAGGTCGTGGGTTCGAATCCCATTCGTGACACTAACTTTTTCATTTCAACCAATCCCTTACATAAAGTTTAATTAATGAAGTTTGAAATAATATTGGAAATGTGTGGTGTTTAGTGACCGTTAGTAAATGATTAGTCGGAGATCATGAGATGTGGTCTGGAATTGACTCTCAACAAGCCCCACAGGAATGACACAATTATGCAGAAAACAATTACTTTGAACCCTGAAGATGATCTCAATAAAGATAAAGACGAACTTTGGCACGATAAAGAAAATGTTTTTCTAAAACCTACGTCACACCAGACCGCATCTCATGATCTTTGAATAAATATATAAAATATTTTCATTGTCCTTTTTAAAAAGCTAGTTCCTACCTTTTCAAAAAGTAAAGAAAAGTTTAACTTTAACTTTTTTTTAACTTTTAAAAAGTTTAACTTACTGTGAGTAGGAACTATCTTTTTAAAAAGGATTGAATATCGCACTTACTCCACCATTCATCATTTCTATATTTTCATGATGTGTAAAATGTCTGCAGGCTACTAAAAGTAGCTGATTGTTTGTGTACATCTCATGATTTATTTTTTTTAAAAGTAATAATATTGTTATTATATAAAATAAAAATTTTCAGGAGGAAGTCAAGAGAACGTAAAATTCAAATTCGACCGCCACACTTCGATCTATCAATCGACTTTGTAGAATTGTTGTCAAAAAAGCGATAACTTTTTCAACAAAGAGGAATGAAAGTTTAAAAACAATCTTTCCAATCATGGTTTTCACAATAAATATACGTTTAAATTAATCCTTGACTTTAATTAACACGGATTTTAAAAAAAATTTAAATATACAAAGTTTTAATGATAAATGAGACCATCGATTACCTGAAAGGCTGAAAGGACCTAAGGTTACTGTTATGTTGTGCTGCCCATGTGGGTACATTGTCAAAAGAAGTCAGATCCTGGAATTTGTATGTTTTTTATTAAAGGGTTTGTTTTATTATTTTTTATTTTTATCGATTGACAATGCCTGAAAGCACATCACTGAGGAATCTGACTTCTCGTAATTATGGGAAGCCACCTGCTAAACAGAACGAGGTGAATATTACAAGTTTTGATAATTGTTGTGGAATTGTCAATTATTTTTAATATTTTAAATTTTTCTCTTCAGTTTCTGCAGTCTTTGGGTGCTCCTCATGTCGATTCGTTCAACTACCTGCTGGACGAGGGGTTGGACCTGATCTGCAAAGATTTGACGCCTGTCGAGATCGAAGTGAACAACTCGACTGTCCGGTTGAACATCACTGTAAGTAATAAGAAAAGCTTTATTTTTCTTTAAATTTATAATATTAGCTCACACTCAGTTGCAAAATTATATGTCGCTGAGTTTTTCTATTGATGCGTTACATTCGTAGTATTGAACGGAGAAAAAACAACACATTTTCTGTATATTATACCTTCAAAGGCAAAAAAAACACACATGTTTGGGTTCCTAGTCATGTCGGCATTTCTGGAAATGAAAAAGCTGATCAACAGGCAAGGAATGCTGCAAACCATCCACGAAGAACAGATCAATTTCCTCTCCGCCCAGATGATATAGTCGTTTATGTTAAAAACATTATCAAATGAAAATGGGCGACAAGATGTCTGTAGAGATAGTATGGAATAAATTAAGCCAGTTGTATATAAATGGTCAATTGAGGAACTTGAGAGAAAAGAACTTGTGATTCTCTCTAGATTGCTGATCTACCTACTCACCCAAATACCATCATTACCGCAATTTTGTCCTCTAACTTGAATCCTACCCAAGCTACCTCTAATATCCAAGAACACCTTGAGCTCATCGAAGGTTGGTGCAAAAAGTGGAGGACAAGGTTAAATGGAGAAAAGTGCATCCAATGTACGTTCACTTTGAAAAAACAGACTTGCCCTCCACTATACATCAACAATGAAGAGATACCGACTTCCACTCAAGTCAAATACCTAGGACTATACCTTGACAGCAGACGTGGAATCCCCACACAAGACTTAAAAGACAACAACTCAACAGAAGACTTGGACAATTACGCAGACTACTAGGACCAAAATCCGGGTTAACCATCAGCACTGAACTGACCTTATACAAGACTTTACTGCGACCACTTTGGACATACGGTGTGGAACTGTGGGGTTCCGCCAAACCATCCAATATCCAGCGTATCCAGTCCTTCCAATCAAAAGTCCTCAGACAAATCGTCAAAGCTCCTTTTTACGTCTCTAACCTCACTATCCACAAAGACCTCAACGTTCCTTTTGTCCACGAACTGATCCATTTCCGATTCCAAAAATTTCATACCAACCTATCGATCCCTCCTAACCCTACCGCTAGAGCCCTCTCCACATATTCCCATCCCGAGAATCCACCACGTCCGAGACCTCCTTGCCCCTTAATCTATTAAAATGAGTACCAGCACTGGCTGGCTTCTCATGGCATGTGTCCTCCGGGTGCAGCGCTGGCATCAATGTTAGTGCTGTAACCCAGCGGTAGACAATATACATTGAGATCACATTTGTATTATGTACAAGTATGTATAGGCTACAAATAAATAAATGAAAAAAAAAAAGATTGCGAATAGGATATATCAGGCTAATCCATAATAGGCTTTTAATAGGCAACAACCTTCCAACTTGTCCTCCATGTATGCAAAGTGGAGAACGTATCATTCTGACAGTAAAACATATTTTGGTCGACTGTCACACTTTGCAACCATTTAGGCAAAGGCTCAACCTTTTGAGTGATTTACAGGAGTTACTGGGTCCCCATTGTTCCTTTTGAAGAGCATTTTTCAGCTTTCTCAAATTTGTTGGAATTTATGATGAGATTTAGGTCTTTTCCCAAATTGTTATATCATTGGATGTTTGCCTGCTAATGTTTGAATGAGAGTTGTGCAAGATTTCTTTTTTTTTCAGAAATTTTTGAGGCTGCCGCAGCGGAAAAGTGAAATGGAAGAAAATACAAATTGCGGGCTAATAAACTGCAAAGCTCAAAATTGCAATAAGAAAAATACCTTCCAAAAAAAAAAAAAATTGTGTTTTGTTTCTTATTATTGTTATGTAGAATTATCTACTATTATTATTTATCATATTTGAATGGAAGAATAAAAGGATAAGGATGAGCCTATACTCATGCTGAGACTGTTGCTAGTCTGACTCCATTATTATTATTAGCCATACAAGCCTATGGGAAATGTTTAAATTATGGAAAAATTCAGAATTCTAATTTAAAAAAAATAAATAAATAAATTTTATATGTAATTTAAAATGGGATTTTTGCATACATTTGGCCTTCCAAATTAAGAATTTTAAAAGGATAAATTAAGGCTTGGATGGCAGTAGGATAAATTAGTTTATGAGTGAATATTTGGAGTCAGAGCTTTATAGCACTCAGAAGGGATATAGCTAAACTAAGATAGAAGGTTTGGGATGTTAGGGCGTGAAATGACCTTAGGCGTTAAAACGCCCTTAAAAATTAATAATAATAATAATAACTAGGTATAAATATTAATAGTTGAGTTAAAACATAAACACAACATTAATAACTTGATTATTCGAAAATTGTGAGATGCGGTCTGGTGTGATGTAGGTTTCAGAAAAACATTTTCTTTATTGTGCCAACGTTTCGATCTTTATTGAGATCATCTTCAGGGCCTGGGTTTTACAAACATTGTTTAAATTTAACAAATACATGTAGGATGTGGAAAGAAAGTGAATTAAATGCAAAAAAAATTTTTTTTTATGTGTGGTGATTAGTGACCAGTGTGTTTGTTTTCTGCGTAATTGTGCCATTCTTGCGTATTGTGTTGAGTGCCAGTGAGATATTGCTGTTTTATTGATTTTGAAGGGGTGGGGAAGGAAATCAGTATAGAAAAGACATTTTTGTATAAGGAGTCGGCTTCTTTGAGGTGAAAAGAGCCAACGAAGGGAAAAAACGTTGGTAATGGTTCGGTCAGATTATCCTTTCAGGATTATATTGACAGGGATAAATAGGAAAAGGAAAGCTAAATTGTTGAAAAATTACACTATGTGAAAAAAGTTTGATGTGTGGAATGTGATGTGATGATATATGTATGTTATCTGTATTGAATTTGATTAATGATATTGGCGTAGCTGCGATTGAGTTTACATGTCTGTTCTGTAATTGATGCTGTGTTTATCTCTGTTGATGTAAACCATTTCTAAAAAGTTATGTTTATGTTTGTTTTATTCTGTGTGTAATATTTTTTGATTGTTGAAGTTGAAATTGTGTTTGTGTTCAAAATGGTGGGTAGCAAGTGCTGTAGGATTTTGCTTAGGTTTTTTGCAATCATAGATATGTTTCTTTACTCCCTTATTCTTATACTCCTTGTACAAAAATGTCTTTTCTAAACCAACTTTCTTCCCCACCGCTTCAAAATCCAATGTATATAAACATAAAACAGCAATATCTCATTCTCAACATGATAAGAAACACAATTATGCAGAAAACAAACACTTTGAGTGAGTAGAAATACTTTGATTGAATATAAAAAAATATTTTTTGCATTGTATATATTCACTTTTTTCCACATCCTACATGTATTTGTTAAATTTAAACATTGTTTGTAAATTGTTGTCTGAAGGCCTTCTACATTTTTTTTTTGCCTGGCGTTTGACCAAAAAGCAGCAATGTGTCAGTCATTATGGTCTAACCTCAAACGGGAGAGACTTCAGATCTTCGGTGTGCCATTGCTCAGTTGTACTCTTAACACACCAGACCTCTCGGTTGAATCGGCGCATTGACGCAGCCAACAGTGCCAAGACAAGACATGCCTCGACTGTTTTAGACCTATCCTTATACATGAGGTGACAACTGGTGAACCCAGATCTGAATTCTAGGAATGCAGCTCAGTAGACCTGGCTAGTACCACAAGATGTTAATTGTTCTCTATTAACATATAGATATGATTCATATAAGTTCGACATATTTATTTTTCATTGTAATAGCTTTCGTTTGTTCTTTGTACAGGAAATTCAACTTCTTCCACCGACAGTACCGCCAAATTTGATCGGTGTGAGCAAGCAAGAAGTATGGCCTACCGAGTGTCGCCAGAGTGCGTCGACTTACAAAGGAAGATTGATCATTAAAGTCAGTTGGTATGTCGATGGCGTGCAGATGCCTCCGATTTGCAAAGAACTAGGAATGATCCCTATAATGATCAAGGTCTGTAATTAAAACAGTGTGACATCTTTATTTAACTAAACAATTTTTTTATTTTTTTTATTAGTCCAAGGCATGTTATTTAAACAATTTGACTCCCGAAGAGTTAATAGAACATGGAGAACATACAAATGAATGGGGTGGCTATTTTATTGTAAAGGGACTTGAAAAATTGATCAGGATGCTTTTAATGACTAGGCGTAATTATCCCATTGCTGTAAAAAGGCCTTCTTGGAAACAAAGAGGAGATCAATTTTCAGATCTTGGTGTTCTGATGAGAAGTGTAGCTGATGATCAGACGTCAGTCGTGAGTATGCTGATTAAAAAATTAAAAAATACTCATAATCGAAACTCATCTTAAACACAATTTTCAGAATAATGTACTTCATTTTGTTACTGATGGATCTGCCAAACTTATGTTTAGTTATAAAAAAGTGTTGTACTATTCACCTTTAATGCTTATTGCTAAATGTCTTGTTGAAAGGTCTGATTTAGCGATTTATAAACAATTTATGGAAGGTTTTGAGGATGACCAGTATATGAAAGGGTAATGTCATATTGTAAATTGTACATAATCATTATCATGCGAATAAACATTTATTTTAGATGCATCCAAAGCATGCTTAGAAAGTTACACAAAGAAGGAATACATTCGAGCGAAGATGCAAGAATGTACGTTGGAAAGACGTTTAGAGTCAAGCTGATAGATGTACCTCAATCGTTAAGTGACGATGACTTCTGTACTTTTATAATAAAGTGAGTTTTAGAAAAATTCAATCCACCTCGTTGAAGGAAAATAAAAAATAAGGCGTTTTAACACTTGAAACATTTTAGTCGCAGCATTTTCCCCCATCTGAATGACAATGTCGACAAATGGAATTGTCTCGTTATGATGACACAAAAACTTTTCAGTGTTGTGCGAGAGAAAAGTATTATAGAAGGAGTCGATGCGGTTATGATGCAGGAAGTCTTGTTAGGCGGTCATCTCTACCTCCAAGTAAATAACATTACAAATAGCACAATGGTAGAAATGTAACCGTTAAATTTAAAATTCCAGATCATAAAAGACAAACTGCAAGGTTGGTTGACAGGTTTGAAACTGAACATTTTGAAAAAGGCATCGTCAAATTTGACTTTGAATGAAGGTAATTTAATATTGACAGTTCATAACTACGAGTAAAAAACAAAAATATTTTGTACTATTTTTTTCTTTTTTAAATAATTTCTAGCTGAAATGACTAATATAATAAATAAAAATGGAGGAGTAGAGAGCACCATTGAAAACTTTTTAAGAACCGGAAATGTCAGTAGTTCCTCAGGGCTAGGCTTAACTCAGGATAAAGGTTTGTGCACATATAGAACAAAAAAAATTACATTTAAAATAATGATGATAATAATTAAAAATGGCAAAAAGGAGGGAAAACTCATAAGGTGGGGTTGAGATAGGAAGTTGATGTCCGAGTGGATCGAGGTCACGATAGCTCAAGTGGTAGAGCAGAGGCGTATCTAGCCGAAAATCGTGGGTTCGAATCCCGCTCGTGCCATTAACTTTTTTTCATCAACTAAAAACCTTAATTAATTGTAATGTATTAATTGATCAAGCGGACCACGAAATTAGTGAATTTAATGATTTAAAATAATAAAATTAATACACAATAACAATCAACAAAATTATAAACAAAACAAAACCACAAAAACAGAGACTAAATAGAACTACTTCACATAGATCACACAGACCCAACAATGAAGATGGCAAAATCCTGAATCACATCTGACAGACCAACCCAGCGAGGATAGGCAGACCAAAATGATCATTAATGATCACATTACAGGTTCATCACTCTTTAGGAAACCTAAAGAATTCTTGCAATCTCAAAAATATTATATGTTATATTTTGTAACAAACTAAGATAATGCTGACAGTCGCACCCTACCCCTCACTACTTTAAAGAAGACTTGACTACACATAAATCATACAGACCCAACTATGAAGATGACAAAATGTTAAAATGAGTATCATAGACAACCCAGTGAGGATAGGCAGACAAAAATGATCATTAACGACCAAATTACAGGTTTGAGACCCTGCAGATCACCCAGGGAATTCTTACTATCTCAAAAAGCCCCAAAGTTTTGTAATAGAGATAATACCAAGAAGATACACTCAGAACCTTATAAAAGAGACTTGACATCATATAAATCACACAGACCCAATCTCAAAACTTCCTAAACTTTTGTTTTTAGGTTTGGTGATAATTGCTGAAAACATTAACCGAATGCGTTACATGTCACATTTTAAAGCTGTGCACAGGGGTGCTTTTTTTAGCTCGATGAGGACGACTGATGTCAGACAGTTGTTGCCAGATGCGTGGGGGTTTATATGCCCCGTACACACGCCTGACGGAGCACCTTGCGGCTTGCTGAACCATTTAACTAAAGATTGTCAGGTGTGCAATTCGAAACTTTAAATAATCACGATTTCACCGGATATTTTTTTTTAATTAGATCAGCAACAGGGCAAACCGGACGCTTGTATCTAAACTTCCAGAAGTCTTGGCCAGCCTCGGCATGCAACCGTATTCAGGCATTAGAATGGTCTCGGCGAAACACTGTTATATCACTATGCTCGATGGTAGGGTGATCGGTTACGTTCCGCACAGCATTGCTGGTAGATTGGTGAACAAACTAAGAATCCAGAAAATCAAAGGTGATAAGGTAGGATTCGAGTTTATTTAAAAAAATAAACCTGGACAAATGAATTAATTATTTATTTACAGGTTCCTTCTACTTTAGAAATCGTTCTTGTAAGAACTAATAAAACAAAAGGACAATTCCCTGGTTTGTTCCTTTTTACAAATGAAGCTAGGATGATGCGTCCTGTTTTAAACTTAGCTGTCAAACAAATCGAGCTGATCGGAACTTTCGAGCAAGTTTATCTTGATATTTGTATTACACCAGAAGAAGCGATTAAAGGGGTGAGTGTTTTATTATATTCTTATATCCTTAAAAATTGATACGTTTTTAAATATTTTAGATGACAACACATCAAGAATTGTCTAAAATTACATTCTTGAGCAACTTGGCATGCCTGATACCCATGCCGGATTGCAACCAAAGTCCGCGTAATATGTATCAATGTCAGGTAGGCTTTTATAATTGTTTAATTAATACTAAAAATACTAATTTTTTAAAAATTGTATGCATCAGATGGGGAAACAAACGATGGGTACACCTTGTCATAATTGGCATCTTCAGTCTGAAACAAAACTGTATCGTCTTCAGACACCTGCAACACCATTGTTCCGTCCCAGGCATTATGACACTATAGAACTAGACGATTTTCCTATGGGAACAAATGCTATTGTAGCTGTTATTTCCTATACAGTAATATCAATTAAAAACTTTTATTTTTGTTTTATTTTTTTATTGACTTTTCTATACTGTTAGGGTTATGACATGGAGGATGCTATGATAATAAATAAATGTTCCATAGAAAGAGGATTCGCACATGCTTCAATAATAAAGACTGAAATAATAGAATTGAAATCTGTAAGTTTTAAAATTAATGTTGCCTTTCCTTGTTTTAAATTGTATTTTTTTTTTTTTCAAAAGACAAAATCATATTTTGGATTGGATCCTGGTAGGCCACACTTAAGAAGTAGCTTAGGAGAAGACGGCCTTCCATTCCCAGGAGCAGTTTTGACTCTAAATCAGGCCCTCTACTGGTTAGTAAAATTACCGATTTCGTTTTTAATAATCTTTAATTTATAGATTGCTTAATTTTAGCTGTTACGACTACGACAAGTCTGCGTTTATAACCGGGGATTATAAAGGTAAAGAGGGAGTCGTAGTCGAAAATGTAAAACTTTGCAGTTCATTTCTCGGCTCAAAAATACCCGCTACTGCTATAATTACGCTGAGACTGACTGTAAGTCATTTTATTCTTTAATAATTACAAACTATTATAATTGTACATTCGTTTTTAGAGAAATCCGAATGTTGGTGATAAATTTGCGAGTCGAGCTGGTCAAAAAGGTATCTGCAGTCAAAGATGGCCTGCAGAAGATTTGCCCTTTACAGAATCAGGACTCGTCCCCGATATTGTATTCAACCCTCATGGTTTCCCATCTCGTATGACAATAGGTAATTTACATAGGATAAATTAAAAAAATTGTCTGAATTACGGTTATTAAATTTTTACATTACGGTCCAACGGTCAAACCTTCCTGACTGAATACTTTTCCATAGATTTTGTTTTTCTTTTTTAACCGTATAAATATAACAAATAGACTAAATAAACATTTTGAGCAACATGATATTCTAAAAAGCTGGGCACACATTAGTTCGGTGGGGTGGAGAATTGGAATTGTGAAGGTCCGCACACTATGTAGGAACCACTCTAGGCCGCATTGGTCGAATTTCCTCCCTCCATCTCACTAGCACTGCGGTTTAGTGTTGATTTTGCTTTGCAGGAGACCCCTGTGACAATAATTGTACTCATAATAAATAGTAGCGACGAGGAAATCATTATTTTGGCCATGGTTGCAGAGTTGGAAGAGGGGGAAGAAAGGCAGAAATAAAAACGAAAAACATGGGTACTTGAAATAAACACCAAACACCTTACATTTGGAGAATATCACCATTATTTTATAGAAATGATCGTTTTTTAACTTGTCTTGAAACAATGCTACTGCTATTCCAAAAAGCAGAGTAAACAAAGCTACATGTTTGTCTTTACAAATATGGCATCTGAGGGCAACTGAACATACCGAAATTCATCAATTTCCGTGCACACTAGGCCAATAGGGTGGTGCAGCGTGGCGCGGCCCTGGCTTCCAGAAGTCTGGCAACTTCTCCAGCGCAGCTCTGCCTGCTGCCCCACCTTAAGACTGTAAACTAAATAAAAACGAGTCTGTTGTTATAAAATAATGAAGCATAATTATTTTTGTGATTATCTGCTTTGGAAATACATTTTTGTCCAGTGGATTGTAAGGGTTTTAAGAACATCATCATAACATGATGAGGATTGTGCCAATGGCTTACACAGACCTCCACCCTGCATTGCCTAGTGCCCTCCTAGTGCTTTTTTTTTAAGGACCCAAAGAATCGAAAATTGCAGGCTATTGGGCGGAAGGTCAAAGCATGCCTGGCAAACCTGCAAATGTCTCGACTAGTGTTGTGCTGTCAAATGGTGTGGGGCCCGCCTGGCACACACTTTACCTACACAGGGATCTACTCAAAAGAGGTTTGACATTTGCGGTTTTCATTATTCATGTAGGAAATAATGAGGAAAGTTTTGACCTTTTTGAAAGTCCGATTTCTTTATTCGCGGGAAAAAAACAAAATTTATTCTTATTATTCTTTAAAAAAAAATGGATTGGAGGCTCAAATTGATTCTAAGAAAACTTTTGCCTGTTTTCAACGTACTGTTCCTTCTTTCTTCTCAGTTTGTTTTATTCTCTCGTTGAAATTGTGTCGCAAAATGCCTCGTCCTGCCTTTTGCCTTGGAAAAAAACAAAAAAAAAAGTCCTGACTCTTGGTGAAAGAATAAAATTTTTGGACATGTTACATTTTTATGCAGGCCAAAGCTTTTCTTCAAAACAGCTCAGGGAAATTTTTACCTTGAGGGACCAACTTAACCCCCACATCAACAAAAATCTATAGTATAAAGGCGGTAATTTTACCAAAAGAGATTGCTCTAATATTATTCGGATCCGAACTAATAAGCATATGTGGTTTAAACCTAAAAAAAATCTCCCAAAGACAGATTGACCTCTGCGAAACTTGTAATGTGGTTGATGACCTGGAACAAGTCATAATGAGCTGTTCAAGTTTTGCAAAAGAACGAGGAAATTTATTTAATGCATTATTTCAAATGCAGTAAATTGAAAAGCCATTTAATTATAAATTGTTATTATACTCATAAAATCTTGAAATTTATAGAGCAATCTTAAGTTTTATTTATAAATGTAATAACCAGAAAAATGTAAGTAATTACATCCTCACAGTGTAACAGTTTCACCTGGTGTGGTTGGGTTGGGGTTAGGAAGGATATGGAGGATATGAGGATACAAAAGAAAAGTTGACTAATAGCAAAAGCTACGGTCAAATGGGGGAGGAAAGAAAAAAAAGGATCAACTTATTAAAAAAGAATGGATTTCGACCCATCTTTAAATCGAAGTTTTAATTTTAAAAGGAATGTTGAGCTTCAAATCCTTATGTGGAAATGCTTAAAGCGGCATTTGGTGAAATCAAACTATTAATAGTTTTTTTTGCATATCAAAAAATACAATGAAAACATGTTAACACATGTCTTCTATTACGTTTATTTTGAATAAACGGTTTTTTAGTTCTAAATCGTATCTCAATTTTTGGCATCATGGAATGTAAACCCTCCTTATAGCATAGGAAAATAGACTCAACATTCACGGATTTAACATTCACGCAAATTCACTATTTTTCGTAGTCCGCTTGACCAATTAATATCATTCAATTAATTAAGGTTTTAAGTTGAGATTAAAAGTCAGTGTCACGAGCGGGATTCAAACCCACGACCTTCAGCTAGATATGCCGCTACTCTACTACCACTTGAGCTATCATGACTTTGATTCCCTCGGGCACTGACTTCCCATCTCAACCGCACCTTTTGAATTTTCCCTCCTTTTTGCCATTTTTCAAATGTAATCTATTTGATTCTCGGTGACAAGTGAAATGGCCATGGAGAGCTTTAGTGAAGTATACTTCATTTTAATTCATTAAATTCACTATTTTTCATGGTCCGCTTGACCAATTAATATCATTCAATTAATTAAGCTTTTAAGTTGAGATAAAAATAATTAAATAATTGGTCAAGCGGACCACAAAAAATAGTGAATTTAATGAATTAAAATGAAGTATACTTCACTAAAGCTCTCTGTGGCCATTTCCCTTGTCACCGAGAATCAAATAGATTACACGACATTTGAAAAATGGCAAAAAGGAGGGAAAATTCAAAAGGTGGGGTTGAGATGGGAAGTTAGTGCACGAGGGGATCGAAGTCACAATAGCTCAAGCGGTAGAGTAGCAGTGTATCAAGCCAAAGGTCGTGGATTCGAATCCTGCTCGTGACACTGACTTTTTTATCTCAACTTAAAACCTTAATTAATTGAATTCACGCAAATGTTAAGGGATTGCTTATATTGTTTATTAGTGCAATAAATCAAAAAGTACTAATACTGTTCCTGCTATATTACCACATGGAAAAAGAACGAAAAACAGTTTGATATGGGTTCACCCGATTGTGGGAAAAAATAACTTCAATAATTTGTACTTGCAATTGTGGAATTATTAAGATAAAAAAGGTAGAAAAAAAAAAATCAGAAAATTTCAAAAGGTAGAAAGCAAGATTGGATAGACTCTCGATATAATGGCATAGCTGATGAAGACTCTCACTGGACATAGGTCCAACATGAAATATCTTCATAGAATTAGAGTGCATCGCCGGTGTTTGCAGCAATCAGGTTCAGGACTTGGATCATTTCTCATTCCCTGAGCAGGCTGCAAAAAGAGCAAATCTGATACGACACCTGCTGAATGGGATCGGACTGGCTGTATACTCGAATAAACCTCCTCAGCTAAAACAATATAACAGTGTTTAAACAATTCACTAAAAATTGTAACTTGTAATTGTAGCGGGAAATGAAGATATATAATATAATTAATTAATAAATATAAAATATGATTTAAAAGTTAATAATGTAAAGTATCTATATGACATGTAATACAACAATGGTTCATGTAGAAAATGAATAAATACAAGATAAAAAAAATCCTAAAACAGATGGTTTACACGTTGGACGCTAAACAGATACATGTGGCAAGGCTGGTGGAATACTACCCAACCGTTCCAGGAAAAATGCTTTCAAAACCAACTCAGGGGGTCGTCTCGTCAGTCGTCCAACTGGGTTTCAAAACCACCAGGCAGTACGCACTGCACTGTCTGTCGTCCCACTCTCAAGAAAGAAATGTCCCACCAACTCAGTTTTCCTCTCGATAAACGGTTCAGTTAAAATCGCTAAGTCTGTCATAGGCCTTACTAACACACTGCAAGGAGTCATTTCCAAAAAAGACCAAATCTTCAGTGTCTATGATCTGAGTACGATGAGTCTTTTGACACATGCCGGTTATATAATCGACAAAGGCTTAAAAGTATAATATTCTATTCTACCATTTCATGTTTTTATTTCTTTTTTTGTTTCAGCCATGATGATTGAATGCATGGCAGGAAAATCAGCTTCTGTCCATGGGCTCGTTCACGATGCGACGCCTTTTGAATTTTCCGAGGATGATACTGCAATTGATTATTTCGGTAGACTTCTTCAAGAAGGTGAATTTTTAAAAAATATAAAATCCCTTTTATTTTTTTATTTATTTATTTTTTTTTTTCTCCAGGAGGGTATAATTACCATGGTACTGAAAGAATGTACAGTGGTATTAATGGTACTGAAATCCAGGCTGATATATTTTTTGGCGTTGTTCATTACCAAAGGCTCAGGCATATGGTATCAGATAAATGGCAGGTGATTATAATTTTAAACAAATTAAAAGTACTTCAAGTTTAAGATGCATTAAAGTTTAATGTTTTGATGTTTTTATTTAGGTACGAAGCACAGGCCCGATTGATATTTTGACCCACCAGCCTGTCAAAGGACGAAAAAGGGGAGGTGGTGTGAGATTCGGCGAAATGGAAAGAGATTCGTTGATTTCGCACGGTGCCGCGTTTTTACTTCAGGACCGTCTGTTCCACTGCTCGGACAAATCTGTGGTATAATAAAAATAAACTTGTTTAAAATTAACAAGGAATGTTAATTTTTTGACGATTTTCAGGCGCTCATCTGTCGAACCTGTGGCACGATTGTCGGACCGGTTTTATCGATCAATTCAAATAACAATGATGCGGTGCAAAACCATGTGGTCAAGTGCAGGATATGTGAAGGAAAAGGAAGAATAGAAAAAATCGATATTCCTTACATATTCAGATATCTTTTAGTTCAGTTAGCTTCTGTTAATATCAAAGTGAAAATGCAAATTGACGGCCAATAATGTGAAAATTGTAATTTTATTGTAGAAATCGTATCATGTCTTATTTTTATACAAACATTCTTAAATGTTATAATTCGGCCATAAACTTCATTTCTCCTGTTTCAGAAAATTTAGGGCTATTTTAAAAATTTAATAGCCAATTGATCAAATATTTGGAAATATTTTTGGTTTTATTGTTAGAATTTTATTTAACAAATAAATCCTCATTATGAACTGTATCATTCTTTAGTTTATTTAAAAAACTCAGACGCGGATTTGACATTGCAATCATTGCTGTAAGGCACATGTTCCAGGTTCGAATCCAGCGGCCTTGCATTCCAACTCGACATATTTTCAAATGGGTTTTTAATTAACTTAAATAATTAATAGGAAATTAATACATGGTCGTAGGAACCACAACTGCTGTCATCCGCAAAGGATGAGTTTTTGTTTTTCAAAAGGACTATTTTACTACATTCCAAAAATTTTGATGTATTGTGGAATGATTGTTAAAAATAGGAACGCAAAGTAGTCCAGATTGATGGTCAGTAAATATATGTACTTAAAAATTAAATCTTAGTCATCAATTTTATTAGCCCTTTGTTAATTTTTATGAGCTAACAACCAAAGTTGCTATCAAGTTCATCTGTTTTTTGTTCATTTCAAGAAAGTAAAGTTCCTGTATTATTTCATTAAATTTAATCAACCGCTTAAGGCAGGGGTGCTCAAACTTGAACTGCTGGCGATCTACCTCAATATTTTTAGACTACTTACGATCGACTNTTTTTCTTCTCGAGATCTACTCAAAAAGCACTCGCGATCGACTGGTCGATCGCGATCGACCGTTTGAGCACCCCTGGCTTAAGGCATAAAATATTTTTTAACAAATTTTTTTAGAAAAAGGCAAAAGAAATAATTGTTTTATATAGAAACATTTATCTTTTTAAATGGAAAATAATTTTAAAAAACACTTCAAACTCTGATTCAAAAATTCACTTAAATAAAAATCCATATAAAAAAAATTCAAATTATTATTTTTTTAATTAATTAATACTGAAATTAATAGAAAAGTGTTTGACCATGCAGATTTCAGATGTTATTAAATTTCATATCAATCTTATCTAATTTTTAAGCATTGGGAAAAATTAATAATGACCCACTATCGGTTGAGTTAACTCCCAAGATGTGCTAATATTGGTTTAAAAATACCTTGGATCATGCCCAAAACGATTGTCTTGCCAACGCTCCGAGATTCGAGTGTGCTTAAAGTAGAAAATTAGATTTTTTTTAGTATCAAACCTTTTAGTAAAGAGGAAAACAAAATAAATACAGACAAAAATTTGTTTCTAGCATTTGTAATTATTACAAATGATAACAATATTGCATTTACATTAAATTAATATGGTTTTTTGACAGTTTCACTGTTAAGTTATATACACACAGAAAGGAAATTAACAACAATAATACTTTAATTTCTCTTTTCAATTTGTACATAATTAAAACATCGTAAATACGCGGATTTGAGTCTTTCACCTCTACGGAATCCAACAATTCTTTCAATTTCGTTTCACTACTAAACCACACCTGAACCTACTTTGTTGCCTGTTCGAGGTAAGCGATGAGATCAGCTCGTTCTTGTGGCTTCTTAATGCCGGCGAAGACCATTTTCGTACCGGGAATATATTTCTTGGGGTTTTCCAGGTAGACGAAAAGAGTGTCTTTACTCCATGTAATACCTGGGGAAAAAATAAAATTAACATCTTTAAAACTCTGAAAGATATTAAACAAATTATTTTTAAGGTCAAAATGTTAAAACGGTAATAATTAACACTCCCATTGTGTAATCTTGAGGTGCATTTTTTTATTTTAAATAATTAAAAGATGAAATGATAAAGATAATAAATTATGAGATAATCAAGAAAATTTGTTATCTATGACATGAGCAGATTACTCATCTACCTTTCTGACTTGCTGACCTTGTCCTCATATTAAATATTACAAAACCTACTTAATTTCAGTAATGAATAAAAATTTGAAATAAGCTTTTTACAAAACCTGGGGAAAAAAATATTAGGAGAGAGAAAGAGGAAAAAAAAGGGTTGACGTATATGCACCAGTCGGGATTATGCATGACCCTTCTTTCTGTACGTCATCTTTGAGACATGATTAAGCTTTGTGATTATGTTATCTTAACGAAATTAGGATCAGCAGACAATTTTTGAATTATGTAATATTACAGTAAAATATTTTTTCCAACAGACATTTATATTATTTTAAAATTTGATATAGCTTTAGGGGGTGAAAATTTTTAACAACTTCTTAATAAACTATACTCTAAAAAACTTGTATTATTACAAAAATAATTAAAAAAAAAAATTAGTGAAGTAACAAAACAGGAAAATTGCTCATAAAACAAAATTTGTGATGAAATGTTTCACACAAATTAAATAATTTGATCGGGATGAAACACAAAATATTCACAATGTGGTAGACTAAATAAAATCAAAAATTGCTTTAATTCGAAGTTCAGCCGTTTTATAAGCTATCTTTTTTCAAATATTTGTCTAGATTTCGTGCAACCATGATTACGATTCTTTTAAATTCCTCAGGTGTTCAGTTTCTTCACCAATTCTTTATTACTGATATAATTTTTCTAGTCCACCGAGTCTTAACAAATATGTCCAAGAATCAACACAGAACACAGTGAAAATATAAAGAACCTATAGAAAATTGAAGGTCATTGAAAGCTTCATACAGCAGAAAAATATGCAATATGGATATTCATTAAATGAAAGATAAATATTGAAATGAAGCCTGAATCTTCATGAAATGAATCTATGGGAAAAATATGTTCAACTTCATTTTATATATACATATAAATAAAATGTGTAAAATGTAAATGTACACTAAAATTTAATAGGAATCTTCATTAAATTGAGGGTTTTGTACGGTGAAAGTATATACAATGGGCCTTCCATGAAATAAATCATTCATAAAATGAAAGTACAAGACAAATACTTGTACACAATGGATCTTCATGATATAAAGGAGTTTTAAGTAAAAGTAAAATTATCCATTCAATTGGGAATTTATGCAATAAGGATTTTTAAAGAAAAATACCATCAATGCAAAATGCATTTTTTTAAATTACATTATTTGATGTTTCACTATTCAAGATGTAAAAATATTAATGCGATGAGTTATTAGGTCAATTATTACAGCTGAAATATATGCTGTATAAGCCACCATTATTAGTTTTACATATTTCACTGGAAAAACTAAATAAATTAGTGAAACATGATATAAATAAATTACACTTGAAGTGAGTTTCAACAAATAAGACACACTATAAAATAAATTTTAGCACCGTCTCAATATAAAATTAGCAAGTGTTGAGTGAGGGCAGATGGTGGAATATTGAGTACCCCATCAACCACCAATCAGGTTGGTGAGTGGGCAAGTGAATGGGTTTGGATGGGGAGACCCTATAAAATGTTTACTACTACAATAAAATCAATTTTTAGCGTGGTCGGTGCAGGCTGGCATTTCATTTTTCACAGCCCAAGAGAAAAATTCGAAAAAAAAATCATGCATGACTGCCTGCATATCAGCCGGGACACTGGTTAGAATATTTCGGCTCCTATGAATATTATTAGCCTCACTGTGAATTTTAAGTTCTAAATTACTGAAAATTTGTAATTTTACAATGCTTGCTTTATTAATATAATATAAGACGGTCTGGTTTGGGTTTAAAATTGCTTTACAGATCACGGTATGATTTCAAGGTCACAGGCCAAAAAAAATTCACCGGGCGTGTTCTCATATTCTTTGTGAACAGTGTTAGTACAAAATTATGAAATGAGACAGTTTAATTTTAAATTTTGTAGAAGCGAGGGCAAGATCTCACCTTTGGTGACATTGGCGTCCGAGTAGGAGAAGCCAGGAGCTTGGCCGGTTTTCCTGCCGATGAGGCCGCTCAAGTTAGGGCCGACTTTGTGTTTCCCACCTTTCTCGACGGTGTGGCACTGGGCGCACTTTTGTACGAACACCTACAACGAATTAAAAAGGAAATTGAAAAAAATAAATAAATCATAAAGATGATGCAATGAAAAGCCATGTGGTCTGTAATAAAATTACCTTCTTTCCTTTTTCGACATCTCCTGCTGGCATGCTCATTTTGATAGTTCTGTCTGTCTGACCTGCCTGTAAAATTTAAAATGGAAAATAATACAAAAAAAGAGGTGAAATTTTTGAATATTTATCTAAATTAGTTTTACACTAAGGCTGATTGAAACGACCTTGAAAAAATAGTAAAGCCTTAAAATGGAAAATAGTTTATCAGGCTTTCAGTGAAATACGGGCTTTCAGAGAGATTGGGGGAGGAAAAAAATCTTTCGGTTATTTAACAAGAATCGGCTTTTTGCAAATTTTTGACCTATTTTTTTTGCACAAGTGCAATATTTTCTTCCGTGCGAAAATTTTTGCAAAAAATTATTTTCGAATAAAAGACCATAAAAAAAATGTTTTTAAAGGTTAAAATTTTGATCAATTTTGGGCTTACTTCGGTGAGAAATTATGCCGCGGTTGGACCCGTTGAACGACCCGGTCGAGCTCCACTGAGAAAAGGGTCTCCGATTTTCTCGGGTCAGAAATCGATGAAAGGAGCGCTGGTGTCTGGATCTATCAAAAGCAAAAAAAAGCACGTTTTAACGAAAAATCTCAATTCAAATCAACACAAAGCACGATGATTATTTTAAAAAATGGAAATTTAAATACTACCAAGTCCTTTGGGCTTTCAAAGGATACCTTTAACAACATCATCGCCCCTTTAAAATACCTTAGGACCTTAGAGGCACCGTTTAAAATCACATGTTCTTCGGGCTGATTACCTGAAGTCGGTCTTTGAAAGTCGGCTTTTGTACCTGAACCTGAACCTATTTTATATATCACTTCTATCTTGAGTTTTGTCCTTAAAATGACGAGCCTTCTCAAGATTTCGTCGATTCTCTCCAAAACAGCGACTAAACACACTGTTGTAAGTTTTTTTTAAGGTTCCTTGGGTATTTACGCAAAAATAAATAAATATATATTATTTATATTTATAAATATCACAAAGAATATTTTTCACTGAGATGTTCTTTTAAGGAGAAAATGTATTGAATTTTACCCTGCTTTTTTAAAATTTTATCAATTTTAAACGGCCTTGAATTTTTCAGCTTATCATCTTGTCCCCCTGCAGTTTTGGAAGGACTGAGCAAATTGCTGATAACTTTTGTATAAGGAAAAATTTGCACATCAGTGATGATAGAGATGTGATGGTTATTGTTAATTAATTGTTTTGAGATTGCAGCCAGAAAACTTAAAGGTTTTACTCAATCATATATATTTTTTATATATGTGATTGATAAAAAAATATGGTTGAGTAAAAACAGGAAGTTTCTAACTGCAATCGCAGATGAACTTTTCAGCGATGGTCATTACAGATCCAAAATGACAGTATTGCTTCCGATATAATTTGACCTAGATACCTAGAGTGCAAGAATTTCATGCAACAACTTTAAATCTAGAACTGTCAGAACAAAAAAAAATTATATTCAAATTTAATTGCTTGCTCTGAAATTTTGAACAATTTTCATCATGCTGAACCAGCATTGGATCACTTATTGCTCCATCTTCAGTGAGAAACAGTTAGTTTTATGTGCATGGTTTTTATGTAATGCTGACTGATTGTGTTCCGCAGCATCACCAGACCATTTTCATGTACAAACATAAAAGACTTTTGGTGCGTACTGAGTTTAGTGTGCAATAAAATATATCAAAACTAATGAACTACTAATAATAAAAGATTTTTGGTAACTTAGTGATTCAAGTTTTTGTATAAAGTTTCAAATCTTTTGCTAAGATCTTTCCATTTTCTACTTTTGGCCTACCATCCACTAATTGTTTATTTCATCTTTGTAGGTTTTTACCCAGGTTGCAAAAGTTTCTTGGAATCAATTACATATTAGATTTAACCCATGTGTGTCTTTTCTAGATTTAAAGAGATTTTATGTAGTTTATTATCAAAATATTCATTAATTATCACATGTTCTTCGGGCTGATTACCTGAAGTCGGTCTTTGAAAGTCGGCTTTTGTACCTGAACCTGAACCTATTTTATATATCACTTCTATCTTGAGTTTTGTCCTTAAAATGACGAGCCTTCTCAAGATTTCGTCGATTCTCTCCAAAACAGCGACTAAACACACTGTTGTAAGTTTTTTTTAAGGTTCCTTGGGTATTTACGCAAAAATAAATAAATATATATTATTTATATTTATAAATATCACAAAGAATATTTTTCACTGAGATGTTCTTTTAAGGAGAAAATGTATTGAATTTTACCCTGCTTTTTTAAAATTTTATCAATTTTAAACGGCCTTGAATTTTTCAGCTTATCATCTTGTCCCCCTGCAGTTTTGGAAGGACTGAGCAAATTGCTGATAACTTTTGTATAAGGAAAAATTTGCACATCAGTGATGATAGAGATGTGATGGTTATTGTTAATTAATTGTTTTGAGATTGCAGCCAGAAAACTTAAAGGTTTTACTCAATCATATATATTTTTTATATATGTGATTGATAAAAAAATATGGTTGAGTAAAAACAGGAAGTTTCTAACTGCAATCACAGATGAACTTTTCAGCGATGGTCATTACACATCCAAAATGACAGTATTGCTTCCGATATAATTTGACCTAGATACCTAGAGTGCAAGAATTTCATGCAACAACTTTAAATCTAGAACTGTCAGAACAAAAAAAAATTATATTCAAATTTAATTGCTTGCTCTGAAATTTTGAACAATTTTCATCATGCTGAACCAGCGTTGGATCACTTATTGCTCCTTCTTCAGTGAGAAACCGTTAGTTTTATGTGCATGGTTTTTATGTAATGCTGACTGGCTGTGTTCCGCAGCATCAATAGACCATTTTCATGTACAAACATAAAAGACTTTTGGTGCTTACTGAGTTTAGTGTCCAATAAAATCTATCAAAACAAATAAACTACTCGCAACACAGCGATTCAATTTTTTTATAGTTTTGAATCTTTTGGTAAGATCTTCCCATTTTCCACATTTGGCCTACCATCCACTAATTCTTTATTTCATATTTGTAGGCTTTTACCTGGGTTCCAAAAGTTTCTTGGAATTAATTGTATCTTAGTTTTAACCCATAAATGTGTCGCTTCTAGATTTAAAGAGATTTTATGTTGTTTATTATCAAAATTTTCATTAATTATTATAAATATCCTCAAGGGGTTTGTATTTAAAATAGGGTGTTTTATGTGAAATTTTGATCAAACATTTTCATCATGTTGACCAGCTTTGAGTCTGTTTTCACTCTAGGAGGCTTGTTGAACTGCTTCTGTACTACAGTGCCTCACCGAGGATGGCCCAATTCCGTAACGCGTTTGCATATCCAACCAAACCATGAGTGAAGACAACCAAGTCCATTTAATTTTCAAAAGAAATAAATTACTTGCAACTCTATGCTTCGAGTTCTTATAAATTTTCGATTCTTTTGGTGAAATCTTTACATTAAAAAAACTTTTGGTCTTTTGTACACCAATTATTCATTACGTATTTGTTGGTTTTTATCTTGCCGGCTCATGAAGTATCTTGGAAATATTTCATTTTAACTTTAACACACATTGCCTTCCTATATTTAAAGATATTTTACGTGCAACAATAACATTGGGCTAATATTTTACTTCCTCATTCTAATTAATCAGCCTTTATTTGCAGAATTCTACCCTTCCATCAATAACATCATTTCGGAAGTTGCATATAACTCCGAATGCAGGAACTACAACGAGCAGCAGTGTAAGTGATACCTGTAAAAAAAATTATTATTTCGTGTATATTTATAGTTATGCTTTTTGTTAGATTTCAAAAGAATACCCAGTAGTTGACCACACATACGATGCTGTCGTTGTCGGTGCGGGCGGCGCAGGTCTCAGGGCGGCGTTTGGCCTTGTGGCTGAAGGTTTTAAAACAGCAGTCGTAACAAAATTATTTCCGACAAGATCGCATACAGTCGCCGCCCAAGGAGGAATTAACGCGGCATTGGGAAATATGGAAGAAGACGATTGGCACTGGCATATGTATTTTATATTTTATTTGATGGAAAATTTCTAATGGATTTTTTATTTTTTTTAAATTTATTTTTTAAAGGTATGATACTGTGAAAGGTTCAGATTGGCTCGGAGACCAAGACGCTATTCATTATATGACCCGTGAAGCGCCCAAGGCTGTCATTGAACTTGAAAACTACGGTAAGCTTTTCATTTCAACTTTATGACAAAAAATTCATTATTTATTTTTATTTTTTTAATTTTAGGTATGCCGTTTTCAAGAACTCCTGAGGGAAAAATATACCAAAGAGCATTCGGAGGACAAAGTTTAAACTTTGGCAAAGGTGGCCAAGCTCATAGGTGTTGCGCTGTTGCAGATAGAACTGGACATTCTCTTCTTCACACCCTTTACGGCCAATCCCTAAGGTACTGAATTTACCAAAGGTAAATTTTAAGTTGTCAATAATTTAAAATTTAATTTTAGGTACAATTGCAACTACTTTATTGAATATTTCGCCATGGACCTTTTGATGGAAGGCGATACCTGTGTCGGAGTGATAGCCCTCAGTTTGGAAGACGGGAAGCTTCACAGATTCAGAGCGAAGAATACTGTAATTTATTTAAAATTTGTAGAAACAAGTGGAGTGGTTGTTTCATTTTTTTTTTTTTTTTTTTTTTTTTTTTTTTTTTTTTTTTTTTTTAATAGGTTTTGGCAACTGGTGGTTATGGCAGGGCTTATTTTTCTTGTACATCAGCCCATACTTGCACAGGCGATGGCCAAGCAATGGTAACAAGGGCCGGCTTGCCAAACCAAGATTTGGAATTTGTTCAATTTCATCCGACGGGTAAAAAGGAACTTTATAAAAAAATGTAATGACTTCGTTTAAAAAAAAATTTTGTTTATAGGAATCTATGGTGCTGGTTGCCTTATAACAGAAGGGTGCCGAGGAGAAGGTGGTTATCTGGTAAACTCCGAAGGTGAAAGGTTTATGGAAAGATATGCTCCTGTTGCGAAAGATCTCGCCTCAAGAGACGTCGTGTCGAGGTCAATGACGATTGAAATCCGTGAAGGAAGGTGATTACTATGCACATTTACACACTTTGAAAAGAATAACTAGTACTTGACAAAGCAAATTATGTAATATGTTTTTTCAAGAATGGGCATACAAATGAACACTACGTGTATGAATTTAAAAAAAAAAGTTTTTGTTAATATTTTTATTGTAATTTAGAGGAGTAGGGCCAGAGAAGGATCATGTATTTCTACAACTCCACCACCTCCCTCCGGAGCAGTTGGCCTCTCGTTTGCCAGGTATCTCCGAAACTGCCATGATTTTTGCAGGAGTGGATGTAACAAGAGAACCGATCCCAGTTATTCCTACTGTGCATTACAACATGGGAGGCGTGCCTACAAATTACAAAGGACAGGTAAATTATATTATTGTTAACTTTAATATATTTTAACTTTTTTTTTTTTTTAATTTTTATTGTAAGGTGCTCACTCACTCTGGAGGAAAAGACAAGGTCGTAGAAGGCCTATATGCCGCTGGTGAGGTCGGCTCATCCTCAGTTCATGGAGCCAATAGGCTAGGAGCTAACTCCTTGCTCGATTTAGTCGTATTTGGCAGGGCCTGTGCTAAAACGATCGCCGAGGAAAACAAACCCGGTGAAAAAATCAAAGAATTGTCTCTGGTAAGTCTTCAAAATATTTTAATTTAAAAAAAAAATCTACAATCTGCTTGGTGTTTTAAGTCAAATGGAGAACAATCTGTGGCAAACTTAGATCAATTGCGAAGGGCCGATGGAAATCTGCCGACTGCGCAAATTCGCCTCAACATGCAGAAAACTATGCAGAAGGATGCCGCTGTATTTAGAACTGGAGCGACGTTGAAAGAAGGCGTTAAAAATATGGAAGAAGTGTACAAACAGTTAGATGATCTTAAGGTATTTTTTTATTATTAAATTTGAGTTTCTTCTTATTGACCGATAGAAAAATTTCAATAGGTGTCTGACCGAAGCATGGTTTGGAACTCAGATCTCATAGAAACTCTCGAGCTACAAAACCTGATGTTATGTGCTGTACAAACTATCGTTGCTGCTGAAAACAGGAAAGAAAGCCGAGGTGCTCACGCTAGAGAAGATTTCAAAGTAGGTGTTATGGATTAAACAAATGATTATTTTAAATTTCTCTAAATGTTTATAGTTTTGTGTCATTCTAATAATTTACTGTTTTTTTTAAATAATTTTTACTCTTTTACACATAGTAATTTTTGTTTAAAATGTCGTTATCACATTCAATACAGTCTTTGTAATCTGTAAAGGTATAAAAATTGTGCCTAAGCATCCTACATATTGAATGTGTTAATGAACATGATGCTGAGTGTCCATTCATGATCGCTTCAAATGGAACCGCGCCAAGCTCCATTTGGAGTGCCTGAAATTTGAGGGGGCATTCACTACCGCTCCACAGCCAGTCACTCCGAACGTCATCTAGTGAATTACCTTCTCAAAATAGATGACGATCTCTTATGCTACGCTGCTGTTTGTTTATATATTAAAAGCAAAAAACCGAAGAGGAAATGTTGTAAGAAGTGGCTCCTGAACAGAAGCCGTAATACCCACATCAATTTGATAAAAGATCTTTCCCTTGAACCCGCCAATTGGAGGAACTTTTAAGGATGGATGAAACGTCTTATTTATTAATAATATTTAGTGTTCTATTGACCAAATTACTTTTTTCAATTAATCTTTTTTTGTAAGGTTTTGGTTGAAATGAAAAGCTAGTGCCACGAGCGGGATTTGAATCCATAACCTTCGGATAAATACCCCGCTGCTCTACCACTTGAGCTATCGTGACTTGAAAAATGGCAAAAAGGAGGGAAATTTCAAAAGGTATGGTTGAGATGGGAAGTTAGTGTCCGAGTGGATCGAAGTCACGATAGCTCAAGTGGTAGAGTAGCGGCATATTTAGCCGAAGGTCGTGGATTCGAATCCTCTCGTGACACTATTTTTTCATTTCAACCAAAACCTTACAAAAAAAAGATTAACGTCTTATTTATATTTACTCCAGCTTGTTACCCCCTTGATTAGAAAACAAAAGACAGTCATGAGAGAAATCATCATTCTACATGAAAGGTTGGCAGCTACATTACATTCTCTAAGTTCACTTAAGTTCTTTACTACGATTTCTGCTCAGCGCTTAGGAGTTATCAATACTGCATCTCTAGTTGCATTTGTATCCTTTGTTTTGAAAAGTTTGACTAACCAGTGGTTGAGGACTGAATTTCTTTTATTTCTATCGTGGTAATCATTGTCTACCACTTTCCATAAATATGGTAAACTTTCATACAATTCAATCACCTCAACAATAAAATCTTGATTGGATGTCATTGCCAATAAAGAGTAAACGTTTTTGACTTTTGAGAATGTACGACGGAGATGTTTGCTCAGTGACAGAAAGACGGAGACTGCGCACAAAAAACCCCCGCGGGTTTTCCCATTCACGACCAAGCCAGCACTTCAATATTCCACCATTCACACCAGGTTTTTCCATGAATGCGCCATGTCCTCGTCGTGCCGTAGATATTTGGAGTGGCGCGATGGAGTTTGGACTGGTCGAATATTCAGCACAGCCGGGCACGCCAGTTCAGTTTTGCCATTGACGTGGTTTTTGGAAGGGCGTCGCTCCGTTTGGACTGCTAGGAGTGATCGTGAATAGCCACCTTTTTAAAATTCTAGGATTTATTGAGGTAAAAAATTTACCACTAGTTTGTCTGTAAATTTGAATTTTTTTCCATCAAAATATGCTAGAGATGTTGATGTTGGTCTCTAGATTATACAGGCTATAATGTACTTTATGTCCTATATTTTTTACATTTTTACTTATTTAGTGAAAAAATTAATGTGGATGCTAGGAATTGGAGGAGTTTCCCCTGAGCACTGCAGCTTTACAGCATATTGTACTCCTTCCTGGTTCCATTTTTAATAGCTCACAACACGTGTGCGAAATTTTTGAAGGGGGTCAGGGCCAAATTCCGGGAGGTTTATATCTGATGTGTGTCACTTTCATTGCGACCTCTGTAAATCTTATGCATAAGAAAAAAAAAAAATCCAGAAGCGGTGGCAATTGAACCCTGGACCCCAGGATGCACTAATCAAGAGTCTAACCTCTTAATTAGTGTGGTCCCCTGTTTTCTTGATTAAAAATTATTTATTGAAAATGCAAAATAAATTTAATTTTTAGCCTTCAAGCAGTCATTTGTGTTTTTACTCATCATAATACTTCAGGAAGATTGCTTTTGAAGTACAGTAGAGTCCTTATAGTCCAAACTAATTGGTACCGAGCCTTGTTTAATTTTATTATCTGAATAACTGCAATAATGCAGAAACAAGCAATAAAATGAATTATTTTGATACTGGATCAAGGGTCAATTTTAAAAATAATCTGGATGTTTTGAAAAAGACAAGTGTGAGAGTTGTCATTTCTGGTCATTTTGATCTGCCATTTTTAGTTTTTAATTATTTAGTTAAAACCCAACAGTGAAGATAGTGACAAACCGAAATATGTTGAATAGTCCAAAATGTTCATAAAGGACCAAACTCCTATACTGTATATACTATCAGTTAATCACCTCGTACACCTCAAAATTTAACGGCTAAAGTGGAGTGACATTGACAGTATTTGGAGTGTGAAAAATGCAATAATTATCAATACATTTTAAATTAGGTAGAAAATACAAAAAACTATATTTTACAAACTGAAAATGTTGCTGAATAATACTTGTTTGGATAAGCGGGACTCTAGAATATTTTTGCCCATTTCCCCCCCCAAAAAAAAGGAAAAAAAAAGTGTAGTTGATAAAGTAGGTTACTGTTTTCAGGTCAGGGTTGATGAGTATGATTACTCAAAACCACTTGAAGGACAACAGAAAAAACCATTTGAACAACACTGGAGAAAGCATACATTGACTACAATGGACCCTAAAACTGGAAAGGTAGTTTTTTTACTTCAGAACCTTGTGACCAAATATTTTTTTTTTTTTTACAATTTCAGGTCGAAATTAACTATCGTCCAGTCATTGACGATACATTAGATGCTCATGAGTGTAAGACGGTTCCTCCAGCCATCAGATCTTATTAGATAGGAAACTTACATTTCATGTTCCTTTGAAAACATTACAGTATTTTATGTTTGTAAATAAAAATTTGACCTGTTTCAACCTCATTTTGGTATTTAAATCAATTTGCAGGATCGATTGTTATTGCTCTGTTTTCAAAAATCCATCTGAATAATTTATTTAGTTTAATTTATTATTTAATTCTTGTTTATTGTTTTCCCTTCACCCTTAGTTTTAGTGCAAAAAGACTCAGCTGGTCTGGTAAAAACTAACATATGACAACTAAAAAAATTGGTTTATTGTATTATTTGAAATACAATTTAAATAATAAGATCGAGTGAGATGGCGTATAATGTTCAAGGATCACGTTATTTGAAGATGTGGAATGCACTTCGTAGGGTGAGTGTCAAAGCAAATTCTCTCTGATGTGCACTTGCACAAACCCTAAAAATTTTTTTGAATTGTTGCTCCAGCTTAATGAATACCGCATAGGTAACTTTAAGTTTTAATTATTTAAACTTATTAAAGTTTATTTTTTGTTAGCATTCAAAAATATATGTGCTATTTTATTTAATGTGCTCAATTCCAAGGCTAAATATTACTTGATTTAATTTGGCTTGTTTGTGATAGATTAAAATAAAATAAATAAAATAGAGATTTAAAAATTAATAAACTTAAATTCAATAAAATTAATTTATACTATGTATGAAAATGAAGATAATTACATAAAACAAGCAATTTCAAAGTTATATTTGTTAATTCATAGGCATTGGCTTAAAATTGTTGAAAATGCTTTAAAATACAACAAATTTTCAAAAAAATATTGAAAATTATTTTGATTAAAAGAAACTTATTTTGCATAATAACCCAATTTATTGCAAGCTCTACATGTCTCAATATAAAGTTAGGATAAATAGTAACTTGTACTTTTTAATATTAGACTGCAATAAATTCAACTAATCGACAACCCAGAAAGAAACAAGCATTTTCAAGACCTGGGGAATGTAGAAAAACGCCTGTCAACAGTCCGAATAAAAAAATAAATGCATTAATAAGGGAAAGGTTCTCAAAAATGCAGAGAACATGTCAAACCGACAGTCAGGGCTCATCAAGCAATAAATTGAACTGGAGGCTCGATGAGAGAAAATCTCCAGCAATTATGGATGGTGGACATAATGCCTGTATGGTCTATGTTATGATCCTTGCAAGAAAAGCTTTGAGCGTCGTACATGCACACCAGGCCTCAGGAATTCACTTTTCTTTACTTCATTCCTTATTTGGGGGTATTAAAACAAGCATAGTCAAGAAGTAGAAAGGGGTCTCGGGAGAGACTGAGACTCCTAGCCTCAGGAGAGTCTGAGACTGAGACTCCTAGCCTCAGGAGAGACTGAGACTGAGACTCCTAGCCTCAGGAGAGACTGAGACTGAGACTCCTAGCCTCAGGAGACATGCATCAAGGAGGTACTCAAAAGGATTAAAAATTGCACCTTTGGGATGACTCATATATCACAGAAAACACCACTCAAATCAGTCTCAGGTGAGGCATCATCATGGAGAGACTGAAATTTCGTGCCTCAGGAGAGGTTCTTACTCTGAGCCTTAGGAGAGACTCAGACTCCACACCATAAGTGAGATTGAGACACTGAGCCTCGGGAGAAAATAAGTCTTTATGCCTAAGGAGAGACTGAGAATCCGAACTTCAGGAGAAAATAAGATTCCAGGCCTCAGGAGATTCTGAGATTGCGGGCCTCAAGAGAGACAGACTGAGCTTCATGAGAGATACCGTCAAGGAGGTATTCAGGGTGGATTATAAAATGGATAGTCCCAAATCATAGGTCTCAGGTGAGCATCTTCAAAGAGAGACTGAGACTCCAAGGCTCAGGACAGACTGAGACTCTGAACCTCGGGATAGACCGAGACTCTGAGCCTCAGGAGATTGAAATTCCATGCCTCAGTAGATGTGCTAATAGATAAATTCTGTTGAGCGAATTTAAAACAAAACAAGTATAAGAAAGCAAAGGAAATCTAAAAGTTTTCTGCTTTATGCAAGTATTCTATGCCCCCATTATGCAACACTATTATTTGTCAACCATGTATGGCCTATACTAAGTCTCTAACAGGGCCAAGGTCTTCAAACTCTTCAAAACGTTATTATTAAAACGAATAAAACACATCGTAGAAAAAAAGAAAATCATTCCTGACCACCAATTTGGAGTCCAAACAAGATATTCAACAATAGACCAACTTAACCGAGTAACGGACGTAATAGAAAAATCTCTTGAAGAAAAATAAATTTGTTCTGCTATCTTCCTCGATGTCTCACAAGCTTTTGACAAGGTCTGGCATGAAGGACTCATCAATAAACTAAAAGGTATGCTATCAAAGCAGTATGTCGATATTATCAGTTCCTACCTGACAGACTGTTTAGAGTTAAACAAGAAGATCAATATTCAAAATTAAAAACAATAAATGCAGGAGAGCCACAAGGTAGCATATTAGGTCCACTGCTTTACTTGTTACCACCATTGATTTTCTGAAAATAGATGGAGTAAAAATTGCAACGTTTGCAGATGACACAGCGGTGATATTACTAGGACCGACTATCACCCATTCAACCAAAATTCTCCAAAATGCATGTAATAAGATAAACGAATGGACAAAAAAATGGAAAGTCAAACTAAATCAATGCACCATCCATTTTTCAACAATTTAATTTTTTAGCACGAGCAAGCTTTGTTATTAGTGTTATATAAAATTTATTTTCTTTTTACTTCTCAACAATTGAATTTTAGGTACTTTTTTCAAGCTCTAAGCAAATACACATAACACCTAACCCAGGTACAACTTCAAAAAGTACGGTAAGAGATAGTTTTATTTAAACAACTGCTATATATCACTTTGCTTCTGGTAAAGAAATGATCGTATTGTAGATAAAAAAGGAATTGACAGTCATAGATCATGTCTACGATGCTGTCGTTGTCGGTGCTGGAGGGGCAGGCCTAAGGGCTGGATTCGGCTTGGTCTCCAAAGGCTATAAAACCGCAGTGATCACGAAACTTTATCCGACACGATCGCACACAGTCGCAGCTCAGGGCGGTATCAATGCAGCTTTAGGCAATATAGAAAAGGACCATTGGGCCTGGCATATGTACATACAAAATTTCCACTTATTTGAATAAAATTGAGTATAAATAATAAAACTGTAGGTACGATACGACAAAAGGTTCTGACTGGCTTGGAGATCAAGACTCCATCCATCTTCTAACGAGAGAAGCACCTCAAGTTGTTATTGAGCTAGAAAACTATGGTAAAATTGTCTTTTTAAATAAATAAAATGTTCATATTTCACTGTATTTATATGGAAAATAAATTAATAACGGTTTTTGTGTTTTTTTTAAAGTGCATATACAAATAATTTGAATACCTATCTGTACATTATGCACGATCTTTATCAATATATTGCTTTTTTTGTTTCTTAATTATATAATTTCTACTCTTTCTAGGAGTTCCTTTCTCAAGAACTGAGGATGGCAGAATATACCAAAGGGCCTTCGGAGGGCAAAGTCTGGAATTTGGCAAAGGGGGCCAGGCGCACAGAACTTGTGCGGTAGCTGATAGAACTGGGCATGCTTTGTTGCACACACTGTACGGCCAGTCTCTGAGGTATGCAGTTAACCATATAAAATATTAATATTAATAAATTGTTTACTTTATTTAACACCAGTTTTATATTTAAGATACGACTGCAATTATTTTGTTGAGTACTTTGCACTCGATCTGTTGATGGACGGTGATAAATGTTGTGGCGTGCTTGCCCTTAACATTGAGGATGGCTCTCTCCATAGATTTTTCTGTAATAGTACTGTAAGAACACAATTATTTTTTATAATTAAAGAAATATATTCAAAATTGCTTTGTGAAGGTATTGGCAACTGGGGGCTTTGCGAGGTGTTACTTTTCTTGTACTGCAGCCCACACTTGCACTGGCGACGGGCCTGCGATGTTTGCCAGAGCTAAACTTCCACTTCAAGACATGGAATTTGTACAGTTCCATCCAACAGGTATAAATTAAACATTATATTATAGTAAATCGTTGTAAATCTGGAGTCTTCATCCAACATCCATCTTCAGCAGTTGGCCTGCTCCCGAAGGCTGAAAATTCCAAATCTCCGACAGAGCAGTTTATATCAATAATAAAAATTTAATTTAATTGACAGGAATTTATGGCATGGGATGCCTCATAACTGAAGGAAGTCGGGGAGAAGGAGGATATTTGGTAAACAGCCAAAATGAGGCATTTATGGTAAAATATGCACCAACGGCTAAAGATCTTGCATCAAGGGATGTCGTGTCAAGAGCAATAACTATAGAAATAAAAGAAGGAAGGTAAAGAACATCAAAATATCTTTTTATTAACATCATTAATCAAAAATATTTTTTTAGAGGAGTAGGCCCTCTAAAAGACCATATTTATCTTAAGCTACACCACTTGCCTGCTGAGAAAATAGCAAGTCGCCTACCAGGTATTTCAGAAACGGCGATGCTCTTTGCCGGTGTGGATGTGACCAAAGAGCCCATTCCTGTCATACCAACGGTTCATTACAATATGGGAGGCATTCCGACTAATTACAAAGGACAAGTAATTTTACACCAAACAAAAAATTAAGGTTTTTTATTGTATAATTATTGTAAAGTTTTAATTTTAGGCTCTCACTCGGAAAGGCGACAATGATGCAATCATTAAAGGTCTCTATGCTGCGGGAGAAAATGCTAGCTGTGGTGTCCACGGCGCAAACCGATTAGGTGCCAATTCATTATTGGAACTTGTAGTTTTTGGTAAAGTCGTTGCTTGCACAATTGCCGAGGAAACTAAACCAGGTGATCTGCCTTGTAAACCTGATGTAAGACTTTATTTAATTGATTCTTTTTGAGTAATGGATTGAATAGTTAAAAAAATATTTCAATCGTCGTCTTATAGAAAGCAGGTGAAGAATCTATTGAAGAATTGGAGAAGATCCGTGCTTCGGATGGATCACTCAGCGTGGGTCAAATAAGAATGAAAATGCAAAGAGTAATGCAGCAATACGCTGCTGTATTCAGAACGGAAGAAACTCTGAAGAAAGGAATCAAAGAACTCGACGAAGTGTTCGAATCAGTAAAAAATTTAAAAGTAAAAACAATCAATTAAATTTTTTTTATCGCGATATATAATATAATTTTCTGAACAGATATGTGATAAGTCGCTTGCGTGGAATTCAGATGTTATAGAAGCTTTAGAACTTCACAATCTGTTAATATGTGCCAAAAACATTATTGTAAGCGCTGAAAGCAGAAAAGAATCTCGAGGAGCCCATGCTAGAGATGATTTTAAAGTAATATCAGCGATGATTTTAATCATTTTAAAACAATGTGAAATAATTTTATATTGTTTTTAATTTTCTTTTTTTAAAGGTAAGGGTCGATGAATATGACTATAGTAAACCGCTTGAAGGCCAGATGAAAAAACCAATGAAAGACCACTTTAGAAAACACACGTTGAGTTATTACAATCCAGCAACAAAAGAGGTAAGTTAAACTCTTATTTTAATTAATAATTTCATAATAATTCTTAAATCCATTGCCTTTGGGTTAAAAACAACCGACAGACAAGTTACAGCTAATTAATTAAATCTTTGTGTATAACCGTGCCATTCAATGATTATAATTTATTAGGAAAAAATTAACTGCAAAAAAATTGACTATTTCTTCAACAAAGGTCAAAAAGTCGACCTTATTTGAGTGAGATATATTTAAAAGTCATGAGTTAAATCTGATTTAACGTTCACTTGACTGTATTGTAAAAAATATTTTATACATTTTTTAATTAAATTGTCCATTTATTTTTCTCTAAAGGTAAAACTGTTTGTAGTAAATAGATGTAAATATAATTAAATTAAATGTATCAACAAGATTCAACTCAAGAAAACTACAAATAACAAGGTGAAACAAAAATGAGGATGTATAAATTAAAATAAGGTTTGCGGCCCACCTCCAAATCAAAACAAATTAAAAAATAATGCAATTATAATAAAAAATGTAAATATTATAAAATTAATAAAGGCAAAAAAACAAACACTTGGCATAGCAACGCTAATTATTGCAATACAAAAATCAAATTTTATCATAATCATAATCAATAGTAATTAGCAGTGTTTTTTGATTCTCTATTTAATTATTTCTGGTGGGATGACAAATGATTAATCTGGGGGTCAAGAAAAGATATTTTATTTATACACCGAAAAAATATACAGGTCATAGCTCCAAAGGTTGAAATAAAAGTGAAAACAAATTCAATCAATGATTATAAATTACACATGTTGTAAAGTTTGTATATTTTAAGTAATTTTATTCTTTGTTATCAGATTAGAGAATTTTTTTTTTTTGCTGGATATGCGAAGGGCTCTTTATGCTCTTCTTTACTGTGACCAAAATTGGTCTATTATGTAAACTCTATTATTATCTAAAACTTTTTGTGAAGATTAAGTCTTTCCATCTCCAAGGAGTAGGTGTCTCATCTTGACCAACGGAGAACATGATTCTCCTTCTTCCTGGCAATTGCACAGGCTTGTTTCTTTTGCTGTGAGTTTATTTATATACCTCCACAGTCAGCAATTTTATCATTCTAGTCCTCCTGGTTAGTTTTGGAGTTTCTGTGATCTTTTTAAAAAGATAGTTCCTACTCACAGTAAGTTGTTTTCAACGATTCGGATTTTGAGCTTATAGCTCATCAGGTTGAAGCAGTTCTACAACCACGTCTCTTTTTACAAAGATTGAACGCACTCACTTCACATTCATATCTAGTTTCTGCGACGTACAAATAAATTGACAAAAAGCTCCGTTGAATAATTATCTTCATAAATCTCAAATCATAGTCAATTACTGCGACTTGCAAACCAAAATTCAGAATTAGGCAGTGTTACAATAGGAGTACTCCAAGGCTCAATATAAGGGCCGATACTTAATCTATACCAATGACCTGTTTTCAAAATTTACCAGATTTAACATTATGAGCTTTGTAGATAATACCACTCCGTCCCTTAACGGCAAGGATCTGAAGTCGCTCAGGGGAAATGATTCTAAGACAGTACTAAACATAAAATATTGGTTTGATGAAAACTGATTACATTTATAGACCAGGCAAAAACTAAAATTTTCACCTTAGGTCTAAGAGATTTATCAGAGATTCTGACAAATCAGAATATATTGAAATATTAGGAATAAAAGTTGATCCTTTCCTAAACTTGAGGAAACACATCTAGTCGAATGTTTAAATTTGAATATTTATTTATTCAGAGGATTATATAGTCAAATGTCTCTGTAAATAATGAAAAATGTTTATTACAATTTTATTTATTCACTTGTAATGTATGGTGTATTTGTCTGGGGCCACTCTGCTTCGGCCAAATATTTTTTGCTGCCCAAAGAAAGGCAAGTAGAGTGAATGATAACCTCAAGTACCGCGAAAATTGTAGAAATAGTTTTATCAATTTAAGAATGCTCACTGTGCCATTATTTAATGTTGTTTACACTGTGATATTAACAAATACAGAACCAGAAATGAACTTAAGTTGTATATTACATTCACGAGAGTGAAAACTTCTCAAAACAGTACAAGACTCTGGATGCCAAAACTGTACAACTGTTTAACCATAGAACTGAAATCAAATTGTTTCGTGTTCAAAAATAAAGTATTTGACCTCCTGGTGTCCAGGGAATTCATGTCTAAGAATTTTGTGATAACAAACAGTAGAAAAAAAGTCACCTTTGTATCTAGACTATGTTGAATCCCTCAGTTTCTATAATAAATTATTCTTATTCATTATCTTTACGGATGATGCAAACTTTATTGTAACTGCTATCATACCTTTTTTCACATCCTGTCTGTCCACACCCGAAGTAAAACATTTCTACCATCAATTTTCCCGTACCAACTCACTTCTCTCTCTCCCATATATACGATGATGGATCTGGTCAATATGCTACCCAACATTATAGATAATAATACATCTAAAGCCAATTTGAAGAGAAATTTGAATCTTGTACAGTAGCGATCAATCAGTACATCTGAAGTATGCATATGATGTGTGTATATGTGTATGTATACAAAATGTGCTCGTTAATTGTTTTTGTATATATATGTATGTATAATTAATCTTATTTACGTCTGTTATTATTTACTAGTCAAATCCCAAAAATTATTTTTGTATTCAAATATTGGTATCTAAATTATACTGTATGTTATTTTTCTTACTTTACTATTGTCATTGTTTAATATTTCAATGTTTTTCATGTTTGAAATATTCTTTGTATTTCTTGTAATTATTGCAATAAAATGGGCTATTGCCCATAAATAACTGTAAACCCTGTGCATACATAAATATTGTAAAAATCAAAAACAAAAAAAAATCTATTTTTGTTTATTAGACCTAATTGATTGCAAGTGAAAAAAATAGTAAAGTCTAATGTCCAATGATCTATGACCATGAATAGATCCCTATTAGTTAAGGATGTTGAAATTTTCAAGCAGAAAAGCAAATTATTTTAAGAATAAAATCTGTCGATTTTCGTTTTTAATCTCAAGATTTATCCTTTTTGGACAAAATTGTTAGACACTTCGAAAATTCAAAAATCATTAATGTTACTTTCTAACAAGGCTTCACTTAATACCGCTCCACTTTAAAAAATCTTACTTTAACTAATCTCATGAACAACTTGGTAATCAGGTAGATGTCAAATACACAGATTTTTCTAAAGCATTTGACAGAATCGACTATAACCAGTTATTGTTAAAACTTTAACCTTTTGGGATTTTAGGAAGATTTTTATCCTGGGTCCTCAAATAAAAAAGGTTTCTTCTGGTGTTCCCCAAGGGGCTCTTCTTTCTCCACTCTTATTTAATATTTTCATCAATGACCTTTCTCCTATTCGGAAATATTCAACTCCTCTTTGCTGATGTCTTAAATTCTTACCTTAATTTACCCTTAAATAAATGCTATACTATGAGTTTTTTCTGGACTAAAACTAATTATATCTTATTTAATTTATTGACAGTACCACTCTTCCTTTTAAAACTACTTCTAAAAACCTCTGTGTTATTTTTGACCACAAATTTTATTGTTTGGATCGTATTAAATCCTCTAGTTTAAAAATGCTGGGTTTCTTATCCCATTACTCTTCAGATCTCCAAATGCCTTGATCATTATTTTCATATCGCTTGTAAGATCAGCGCTTGAATACTGTTCTTCTGTTTGGAATCCCTACACTGCAAAATTTATTTATAAACTTCATTTCGGTACAAATTAAATTTCTCAGAATTCTCGCCTATAAAATAGGAGTAACTATTACTGATTATAGACAATTTGTACCATACTTTAATTTACTTCCCCTAGAGAGATGTAGACTTCGCTCTGATTTACTTACTCTTTCGATAATTAACTACTGTATTGAATGTCCTTTTTTACTTAGTCAAATTATCTTTTCTGCACCGAGCTACTTGACCAGGCGACTTTTACATATTCTACTAACTATAGTAAAAATACCCCTATTGACAGAAAAATGTGTTCAGCTAATAACTTTCCAAATCTTACAATCTTTAATTTTCCCTTATTTCCATTCTACAGTCAAATGTGCAGACATGTTCAATTTTGAATTATTACGAACACGTTAAGTTAAATTATAACAATAAAATATTTTTCATATAAATTATTAAACTTTACTTCTATATGTGTATGTAGGTTGTATATATTTCCATATTTTAACTTTTTTTTTAACTTATATTATTTTATTTTATGTGTGGTGTTTAGTGACCATTAGTTAATGATTATTTGGAGATCTTGAGGTGCGGTCTGGTGTGACTAAGGTTTTAGAAAAACATTTTCTTTATCATGCCAACGTTTCAATCTTTATTGAGATCATCTTCAGGGTCTGGGATTTATAAACAGAAAACAAACACTTTGAGTGAGTTCGAATACTTTGATTGATTCTAAAATTTTCTAGCATTGTATAAAATCTCTTTTTTTTTATCTAAAATTTTCTAGCATTGTATAAATTCATATTTTTTTAATCTAAAATTTTCTAGCATTGTTTAAATTCATAATTTTTTACACATCCTACAAGCATTTGTAAAATTCAAACAATGTATATAAATCCCAGGCCCTGAAGATGATCTCAATAAAGGTCGAAACGTTGGCACGATAAAGAAAATGTTTTTCTAAACCTACCTCATCAGACATCTCACGATCACCAAAAATTAAAATTAAATTAAATATATATTATTTNTATATTATTTCTATAAATAAAATATTTACTGAATATAATTAATCTAAATATGCACAAAATATTCTTATTTTTAAGTACTTAATAAATATATTTTCATGTAATTGTTTTTCTAATATTATTTTTAAATAATATTTAAAAAAATGTTATATTCAATGACAATTTAAAATAACAGTGATAAATGTGATCTTTTTTGGATGTATTTACATGAAACATTCGTTTAAGCTATTTTCTTTTTTTATGTATTGTTTAATACTTAAGTAATTTTACCTTGTTTTCTTATTTTTGGTTTTATATTGTTTTTTTTTTTTTTATATATTGTATATTTATATATTTAGTTTTTTTTTTCTAAAATTGGATTAATTTCAATAAAAACTTCGGATGTGGAAATTTGCTGGAAAGAACGGTACAGCAAGTCGAAACTGCGATCTCTGGGCAAAATGGTGAAAGCACCCTTCCAAGGGGGGGTTGGTCCTCCTTGGGTGTAGCCGACCGACCAACCCCCCGTTTTATCGATCCTAAACAGCTACGCTTCACAAACTAAGACATATAAACCGGAAGTAAAGCGCAAGACGGGATTCCAGCCAAAATGGGCCGGCGCATCCGGCATCCTCCGGCCAATATTTAAGTCCGGGGGTGTAAAAGTTATCCGCAAAAGTTCAAACCAAGGCCTAAAAGCCCAAAAACGCAAACCATATTCCGATTGTTTAACAATTTTTTCCAACCCCATGAAAATTTCCGGGGAACTTAAGCTAAAGTTCATGCAAAACCTTAACATTTTGTTTAATGGTTTACAGTTTCATTTGACATTTTAAAAAAATAATAAGAAAAGTCCAAACCAACAAAATTATCTTTGGTTTCTTTTTATCTTTTATCTTGACAATGCATGTAATAAGGAAAATGCGTCGTACCAAAGCCAATCAATGTAATTCTAACGATCGCCCTACTCTTCTAAATCGGATCACATCTTCATCAGAATGCCCTGTACAAGGGGCAACAAATTTTTCTCGGAACTTGACCAAAAACAAAACACGGTCGTTAAAAAATGTTTAAAATTCTAAACATTTATCTTTAAAGGATAATTGTTTATATTGGAGCATTAATAATTTAATTAAGAAACAAAATGCTTGAGATAATAACAAAGAAAAACAAGCTTTAAGAACAATTCATTAGCAATTCCTCATAATTATTATGTAAACAGATATAATTAAACTTTGAACCTGGTTTTGAGCAATTTACGAATTTTTTAAAAATATTTCTTTTTTTTAGGTGAGCATTCAATACAGGCCTGTTATAGATGATACTCTCGACCCGGACGAGGTGAAGACAGTTCCTCCAGCAATTAGAAAATATTAACCATAAGATTTTTCTAAAAAAAAAAAAAAAACTTAGGTTGTTATCATCCTTTAAGAACTTGGAATCTTTATTTTATAAACATAAAAGAACATGCACATTAAATCTCCTTAAATTTTACAAAAAGGAGTTCTGATTTTTGGCTGATTTAATTGACTTAAATATTATTTTCCCATTCGTTTTATAAAATTTAAAAAAAGAATTACCTTATGAGGCAAATATTTTACATACGAATTTATACAATGTACGTTTATATTTTAACAATTGACTATTTTATAAGTAGAAGGGGTTAATTTATTAAAAAAAACTACCGAAAAACGATGTTTCTTTTATTTAAAAAAAAAAGTTATTTAGGATATTAATCTAAATATTTTTAGTTGGTCCTAGTTAGCCAAAGTGATTAATTGATTCATACTTTTTATGTAAAGTGTGGTTAAGATGAAAAATTACTGTCACGAACGGGACTCGAACCTACGACCTCCCGGCCGATAACACCAGCAGAGAGGTCATGGGTTCGAGTCCCGTTTGTGACAGTAATTTTTCATATCAACCACACTTTAAATTAAAATTATAAATCAATTTACTGAATTTAGAAGTGCGACAAGCTTGTAAACCTACTGTCTAGCTCTGAGTTCACATAACTTTTTCGTCAGTGGTTAGTTTTATCGATGATTATTATGCGAAAATAGCATAATCTGTCTTCAAAAGTTGAAATTTTATTCAAAGCCTACAAGCGGAAGGATCAATTCGACTTCTCGAAGACATTTTGTCAAAACATTAAGGACATCATTTCGTCATCGATCATGTCCGAACCATTGTCTTTTGGTTTAGTGGCAGATGCTGATTTATTTATGACTAGGAAAGCATTCATGGATTATCTGCACTAATTCGGATTTGAAATGCCATTCTGAGTAAACGTGTCATACGGATCGTCAAAACAACATATATTCTATTTAAATTAGATCACGAGACGTTAGGACTATAAGCAGGGAGAGTCAGTCTCCTGTTCATTCGAATGATCGACCAATGTGGAGAAACATCAGTTCGTGGCTGTATTTCGGTAGATAAAAACTGACCAATTTCTTAAAACAACGTATTCTATTATATTTGAATTAGATGGAGTCGTCAAGACCATAAGCTGGGAGAGAAAAGCCACTGTCCTGTTCATTCGTTTTATCGACCAATGTGGTGAAGCATTACTTCCTGGCTATATTTCGGTCGATATAAACTTTTTTTTTAACAACGTATATTGATTTATTTTATCTACAAGGAGAGGCGTCAGGGTATAAGGAAGAAGAGCCACGTCACTCCTGGTGGTTCAAATTGTTGATTGAGGACTATAAGCAGGGAGTGACAAGACACTGACTCTTGTTTTTCCGAATTGCAGAACGACGTGCAGAAGCTTTACTCCTGGCCATATTTCTGTCGATATAAGCTTGTTGTACCCTTAAAACAACGTAAATTATTTTATTTGTGTTAGTTAGTGAGACACCAGGACTATAAGCAGGGAGTGGAAAGTAATTACGCCTGGTTTTCAAATTAATAATGTACAGAAGCGTTACTTCTTGACTGTATTCCTGTCGATCTAAGCTTGATCGCATATTGTTACGTTTTAGTTAGCTAGCGAACGTCAGGAATCTAAGTAGGGAGAGGCTAACCAATGAAACATTCTGTTTTTCTGAATTGTCGAATCATGTTGATGGAGTTGCGGTATTTCGTGGATGTTTTGCAGTCGATCTAAGTTAGTTACATCCTTAAAACAACGTATATTCTTTTATTTTAGTTAGTGAGACGTCAAGGATATAAATAGGGAGAGGCAAGTCGTGACAAGGACGGCGCAAATTGTTGAGGAATGTACAGTACATTCTTGGCTATATATCGGGTCGATCGAAGCTTGTCATTTTCTTAAAACAACGTACATTCTATTTAAATTAGATCGCGAGACGTCAGGACTATAAGCAGGGAGAGGCTAACCATTGACCCGTGTTAGAATGATCGACCAATGTGGAGAAGCATCACTTCGATATAAACTTATCATTTTTTTCTAAGCTTGTTAATGCCTTAAAACAATGCCTATTGTTACATTTTAATTAGATACCGTACGTCAGGACTATAAGCAGGGAAAGGCATGTAACTACTCCTGGTTGTTCAAATTGTCGAATAACAGTAGCGTTACTTCTTGACTGTATTCCGGTCGATCTAAGCTTTCTATTTCGTTAAAACAACGTCTATTGTTACGTTTTAGTTAGGTAGCGAATATCAGGACTCTAAGTAGGGGGAGAGGCTAACCAATGAATCATTCTGTTTTTCTGAACCATGTGGATGGAGTTGCGCTATTTCGTGGATGTTTTGCAGTCGATCTAAGCTAGTTACATCCTTAAAACAACGTATATTCTTTATTGTTGTTAGTGAGACGTCAGGACTATAAGCAGGGAGAGGCTAACCATTGACTCGTGTTGGAATGATCGACCAATGTGGAGAAGCATCACTTCTATATAAACTTATCATTTTTTTCTAACTTGTTAATGCCTTAAAACAATGCCTATTGTTACATTTTAATTAGATACCGTACGTCAGGACTATAAGCAGGGAAAGGCATGTAACTACTCATGGTTGTTCAAATTGTCGAATAACAGTAGCTACTTCTTGACTGTATTCCAGTCGATCTAAGCTTTCTAGTTCCTTAAAACAACGCCTATTGTTACGTTTTAGTTAGGTAGCGAACATCAGGACTAAGCAGGGAGAGGCTAACCAATGAATCATTCTGTTTTTCTGAACCATGTGGATGGAGTTACGCTATTTCGTGGATGTTTTGCAGTCGATCTAAGCTAGTTACATCCTTAAAACAACGTATATTCTTTATTGTTGTTAGTGAGACGTCACCCTTCTGTGGCATAGGAATCCACACTATTAACGAATATCTCAGACAGAAGGACAAAAAGAAAATGAGCGAACTTTGGAATTCACTTATTGGACATAGACAATCCAAGAATATTCTAACCAATTTTGGCAAGAAAGAAATCACAGAATGTGTCAAAGGAAGCAGGAATAAACTGCGAATCCTAACAGGATTCCTGACAGGACACTGATTAAATGGATATCTAAAGAAAATTGGAATAATCCAAGATGGCACATGTAGATTCTGCAAGGAAGCAGAAGAGACACCAACACACTAACAAACTGCGGAACTACACTAGCCCGCAGGAGGAAGTGTTTTGGGCTGTACAATGTGACCATAGAAGAACTACAACCACTGAAATCGGGCCTATTAATCAAGTTTCTTAATGAAATAGGACTCACCGATGTTCTTTAGGCAGAGCACAGGGGATACAATAGCTCTCAAAGGGCGCAGTATACCATACCCTGAAATATTATATCTACATCTACATCTAGTGAGACGTCAAGGATATAAACAGGGAGAGGCAAGTCGTGACAATGACGGTGAAAATTGTTGAGGAATGTGCAGTACATTCTTGACTATATATCGGGTCGATCTAAGATTGTTATTTTCTTAAAACAACGTAAACTGTTTTATTCAAGTTAGACAGCGAGGCGTCAATGAATGTCTAAAATTCGATAGTTTAATTTTTTCCAGGATCGGTGATGTGCATAGGCCTCTGCGAAGTTCTGATGTGTCCTGATATTTACTTAAAATTATCACCTTTCGAAAGAGAACGAACCACCTTTTGGGATTTGTACGTTTCGGTTTTGCAATTAGTCCGGAATCAGGGGGAAAAATCAATTCACAGACGAGACTTCAATTATGATTTATTACTGTATGGGATAGTTCGAATAAATAATTTTTTTTTTGTCTTAAATATATTGAATTAATGCTGATAATATTGGGGAAAGGCCAGAATGGGCTATTTATAGAGGCGGCGTAATGGTAAACAGGGTTTTTGAATCCCCTTATCACATGAGCTGTTTTACAAAAACACATATTTTTTTCTGATTTTTAATGGTGTTATTGTACCATTAAAGGAATTTAGTTATTCAAGGGGATTTTTTTACGCGAGATGCCTAAATTCAATGATTTTTTCCTGAAGTTTATGATTTTTACCCGATTGGACAACAGAGATGAAATATAATGGGGTGGGGGTTAAAAGACTGTATATATCTGTGTAAAAGTACAAAGGACTTTTTTGATATTAAACTTTTTTTTTTTCAATAAAATTCGCACAGACATTCGCATATTTATAAAAGTGAATATATAAAGCCGTGAATCATTCTTGTTATGCGTATTTATTCCATAAACAGTTCTGTTGACAGTCATCCCGTTCATTTATTTCCCTGAATTCTATCCATTGACTTGACTGAAAGGACTATCGTGTTAGATTACAAGCCTTATATGACACACGATAGTAAAAATAAGTTGTTTAAAAAAACGGGCAGGATTTGTATTGTTCTTTTTTTTAAATCTTAAAAGGGCAATGAGCGTCAAAGAAAAGCGGTTTCGAATCGCTGGTAAAGATAAGAAATAATTTAATTAGTCCATTCCGCCTGTCTTCACCAGTCCTTGTTTACTGCGCCAGCTCTATACTTAGTTGAATGATGACTATTTTCAGCTAGACAATTGTCTATGTGAACACATTTGGAATGGCATTCATTTGGCTGTCCGTCAGTGTGTTCAAACTGTATCGTTAAAGGTTGCTTTGTTCACGATAACGTATCATGTCCTGCTTCAAAAAAACAATTATTTAACAATTTTTTATAACAATTTTCCTTAAAAACAAGCGTGTTTTGAAGGGGCGTTGATCTTATCTTTAATACTGGCTTGAATGACGTAAAAAGAAACGTTTTAGTTAAAAGGGTACTGACATTTTTCAAATATCAGCACACAATAAATATAAAATTAAAGCTGTACTAAAAATCAAGTACAATTCTTAAGTTTTCTTTCAGATTCATTCAAGTTAAAACAACACTTAAAAAAAAACAACTTTATAATATTAGCTTTACATGACAGAGTTATGTGCCAACAGCTAGCGTAGAAATAAGTCCTAGTTTAAAGAGTGGAAGGTATTTTTATAAGAATTTGAGGATTGCTGACTAAGATGTGGTGGGCGCCTGGTCCAATTGGTTTTGTTGACGTGTTGTCTGTAAAATTCCCAGATGTTTCATCATTTCCATTTATTCATATACTTGCAACGAATCGGTATTTTCTTTACATTTGTTATTATATAATTTGGTAATTGTTATTATAACTTAATACAGCCAGGAAGTAATACTTCTTACACATCGTTCGACAATGGATGGCAGTTTGCCACTCCCTGCTTATAGTCCTGATGTCTCTCATGCTAAATAT